CGATGATGAAAGTACAAGGGAAAAAATAAATTATAACAAATACGCCCTAACAATCATCCCAATTATCACAAATTACAAGAACAATTTATTATTCTCAAAACACTTCAGAATAACCTCACATTACATCACCTGAGATTTTCCCAAAGTGTTCACCTGATTACTTACAGCGATACCTGGATTATGCAATTACTGTCAGCTTGCGTAATACACTTGGGTACTATTTTAAGATCTATCTATCGAGTCATCCATCTATATCTACATCTCTATATAATAATAATATTAATAATGATAAGTATAATAGCCAGCCGCCGGTTTATGACGTCACCATCCTCTCCCACCAATGAAATACGTCAGTCGCCAGTTTGTGACGTCATCATCGTCTCCTACCAATGAAATACCTGAGGCAGCCGCCAGTTTGTGACGTCATTCTCCTCTCCTACCAATGAAATACCTCAACTTGCCGCCTATGAGCGGCGTCTCATCACTTCCGGTGGTATATTTTCTAGTAGCGGCGCTTTCTCTTCGGTTCCTCGTATTCTATATTGTTCCCTTCTCGCAGGGGTTCCGTGTCAATAAACCTCAATGACCGCGCCGTCTCCGTTTAATTCCACATCTGACCCTTTTTCAAGGTTAAATATACAGGAGTGTCATCGAGTCAGTCGCTGAATTGAGACGATCGAGCCGCAGGGTGACTCAGCACCTCGTTAATTAACAAATATTGGCTCTACATCCTCGCCCACTCACACGACACAAACAATATTATAATTGGCTATATACTTACTATTTTCCATTATTTGTAAATCTGCACTGTATATTTACATATTAATGAACGTGAACTTGAAGGGCGATTTAACTCAATAATCATCAGTTTAACATATCCATCTAAGCACACATTATATATATATATATATATATATATATATATATATATATATATATATATATATATATATATATATATATATATATATATCCCTTGTCATCACCATGAGAACTTCCCGCCAACAGTCACTATAGCGGGGTTGAAGGTATCAGTAGCGGGGTGAGGCAGTATGTGGGCCGCCAGCTTTCACCTAACTTAACCTACACACAAAACTCACCCAAAGTGTCGCTAAACTGGTCGTCTCCACCGGAAGTTTGTCAGGGTCACGTTCATTATCATAACCCTGTCAAGAGGGAGATGTTTGACCCCTTAGTTCACACCAGAGTGACACAACCAACTCGGCTCATAAGATCATAGATTGGTTGAGAGAGAGAGACATATTTAGATATTCTGATAAAGACACAGACAGACAGGAAAATCCAGTGGCGTAGCTAGAGTGTGTGCCGCCCGGGGCGGCCCTTGAGTTTGCCGCCCCCCGTGCCCCCACAAAAAATACATATTGCACAGTGACTCACTCTTATTTATATATATATATATCTCTCTCTCTCTCTCTCTATCTATCTATATATATATATATATATATATATATATATATATATATATATATATATATATAGTTTGTGTACCATTATAATATTACTGTACTTTGACATACTCAAATAAAGTATGCTTTAAATACACACCAAACATACTTAAACTTTATAAGTAACAGTTAAACAAAAAGCAAAAACGACATATAGGATAGGGAAAAAAGTAAAAAAGTGTAAAAAATTAGGACCATCTTTATTTCTGAAATGAAAACTACAACTTTCTACAAAGTAACTTTTCTTGTTTTTTTGTTGGTAAATTCTTCAATGACATTGTCAAAAACTATTTCATCTGTCAATTGTCGCTCTATAGACAGTATGGCAAGATTTCTCAACCGCGGTGCTCAAAGTAGATCTTAAGTAATTCTTGATCAGTTTTAGTTTCGAAAAACTCCTCTCACAGGTAGCAACACTAACAGCAATTGTGAGGAAAATCCTCAGCATTATTACTATATTTGGAACCGAGTTCCCAAGGTTATACTTTTGAATAAACTGCAAAAGTTCAAGGGGGCCTTCTTTCCACGTCTGTATTCTGTCTTTAATAGTTATAGCAGCAACAGCAACAAAATGCTGAAGTCTTTTTCTCTCAACGAGGAACAATTCTTTATCGATGTCATCGTGATCGTGATCTATTTGACACTCATATTTATCATCCAAAAGATTCAATGGGGTAACGAAGGCATATTTCTCAGCAAGTTCATGAAGCTGTTGAAATCTCAAAGTTATTTCTTGGATCACTCTGTCCAGCGAAGAAAACATCTCTCTCCTCAATTCAATGTCGTATGGCAATTCAGCATCTCGTGATCCTTCACCAAACATTTGTTTCTTCTTTTTGGGTCGACGCTGACGCTCCATGACTATCCCCAGATCATTGCAAATTTCTTTGGCATAGTTAACTCCATTACTCACTAGCTTGTCCCTGTTTTCAACTAGAAATGTTTCTAATGCCCTGAGTTTTATATCACATTGTTGTATGTTCAAGCCCTTGGTTTGGAGGTAAGTCTGTTAATTTCTAGAAGGACGGGTCCCCACAGGCCAAGAAAGCACAAAAAGGAAAATGATTGCAAAGCACCAAGTAGAACACCAGCATCTGCCCTGGTAGCTGTATTTTCTTCTTCACCAGTTAACTTTTCTAGGGCACTTAAGATTTTTGAGAAATGTTTCTTTACAACACTTACAGCTTCTCCCCTCGCACTCCACCGAGTTTCTATTATGCGCTTGACACTTTGACCAGTGACTGAAGTTAGAACATCCCAGCGATGGGTTGATGAAGAAAAAAATACAAACAAACGTTCCACACATCCAAAAAAGGTAACAGAATTCACAGCAACAGAAGCTGCATGAACACCCGCCAAATTCAGCGAGTGATTTGTACAAGCGACAAATTCTGCTTTTTCATTAATTTCCTTGATACGTTTCTGAACACCAGTATGAACACCAGCCATCACCGCAGCATTATCATATGCTTGCCCTCTACAATTTTGAATATCAATTCCGTCTTTCTCTAATTTTTCCAAAATCATCATTGAAATATTCTCGGCGGTTTTACCTTTTGTTTCAATGAAATCGACAAATGATTCCACAACCTTCACTTTATCTCCATCGATCATAACATAGCGTAAAACTTGGCTCGCTTGATCCTTATATGAAATATCAGGAGTGCTGTCGAATATCATGGAAAAGTACTTTGCTTCTTTTACTTGCTTGATGACTTTGCTTCTTACGTTTTCTCCCAAAATTTCTATAAACTCGTTCTGAATAGTACGAGACAGATAGGAAGTAGCAAACTTGTTTCCCAGCTGGATTCTTAGAAGATGTTCACGTAGCACTGGATCATATTTCGCCAACAACCTAACCTAACCTAACTTAACCTAACCAATAATTAACCACAGAGAAGAACAGTATATTTTACCCTCAACTATTTAATTATGTTCGTAACTTTTGAAAGCCCTTACTGTTGTCAGACAAAAGCCACCCCGATCAAAGTAGGAGGCTTTTGTCTGGGTGGCTTTCGTCTGGGGGGGTTTTGTCGGGGGGGGCTTTTGTCGGGGGGCTTTTGTCTGTACCCCAGTGAGGATAGTGTCTTAGTATAAAATCGCAATGCTGTGAAACAAAATCTTAATATTTAATCTCAGTACCGCAGCAAAAGTCACATCAATATTTTTTAACCAATACTTTAATATTTCTTACCTTATAGTATTATGTCTTCCAACGAAGTAAATAACTGGATCGAAAACACAAGAGAACTTAAAAGTCGTCTAGCCTCCCCTCGTCTTGTCACGATGGAGACTTGTGCAGAACTGAAGTGAATTGCTTGTAACTGGTGGATTGGTCGGCTGTACATGAACTGATATGACCCGAGACTGCATGGTTTTGCAGCTACTGGAGACGTTAATCCTTCCCTTTGTATCGGCGGCAAGTTAATCCTCGTCGTGTCTGACCTAACACCTGACCCACACCACATGAGCTCACTGGCGTACTTGTTTGAAGTTGTTTCCTTAATCCTCAACAGGTTACAGGTTGTGTGTGTGGCGGGGGGCCTCATAGCAAGGGTGTAGCTCATGACGTGGCCGTGATGATGTGGGTCAGGTGTTAGGTCAGACACGACAAGGATTAACTTGCCGCCGATACAAAGGGATGGATTAACGTCTCCAGTAGCTGCAGATATGGGTGATGAGCAGACCCAAAAGTGCCGCCCCCCAAAAGTGCCGCCCGGGGCGGACCGCCCCCCCTAGCTACGCTAGTGGGAAAATCGTCATACAAATTCAAAATGATTCAGCATGTAACCTACACAGCTCTAGAAACAATGGTCTGAGTATATTTTTTATGGAACAGTAGAGTTTAACAAGAAGCCGGTAGCGATATGATTATACTACTGGTACAGGCAAATAGGGTGGGTCGGTAGGTCGGTCTATCATATCCACACACACACTATCATTTCCCACGGGTAAAGGTAATAAATTCAGTCTTACTTTCCTTTCTCAAATAATCAAATTTCTCTGCTGTATGAAATATAATTATGACCAATGACTTGTAACTGGCGAGACTACGACGATCACAGGAACATGCGGACCTAACAACAAAGACTCAAACTGATGGCATAAGAGACTGTCGTTGAAGCCCTAGAAGAACACTGTTTCTCAGCTCTGTGTACAGTGCAAGAAGATAAAGAATAATAGTTTCTCTGTTAATCTCATATATACTGCATGTAGTTTTTTCTCTTCTTTTCTTAAGCTGTCTACTACTGTAAAAGATGCTCTGTGACGCCTGTCATTTATTATGTACTCTATATATTATATGCAGTTTGTATATGTCTATCCATCCATTTGTCCAAGAATGAGTTTTACTCAAGAGATAGTTCTGCAAGTACTGCCAAACACTGCATCTTTTGGATGGATGTGTGTGTGTTATCTAATCATGCATATCCCTTTCACTTTTCATGTTTTAATATATTCCTTAATTAAGTTGTATAAATGTTTTTCTCTTGTCGTCACATGAAGTGCACCTTTTAATCTTCTTAACTTCTGCAGGTTGGTTGTGATGAGCACAGTGTGTGTTGCTGTGAGTGAGAAGAGGGAGGGCACTCCATCTCCCAGCTACAGCCTGGTAGTGGGAGACGGTGGATATGCTCGCCTTATGAACACCCCGTCATCCTTTTCTGACCTAACCCTCACTGCCTGGGTCAACATCACCTCCTTTCCTGACGGTGTTGCTCCTATTCTTACTGCTGTGGCTCCTGATGCTAACAGCCAAGTATCCTTCTTCCTGCGACACGATGGCCTCGGAGTCTTGTGGGGTGGACCACCCTCTGTGCCAAGGTACCAGATGGACCAAGTAGACCGTCATCCACGCACCCAGTGGAGACCCATAGGACTGGACTCTCCACACAGAGAAAGGCGTGATGCCGTAGACTACAGCGCTGGTCTTGGAGATATTGTGGATATCCTAGCAGATTCTCGTAGCGGACGGTCATACGACACGTGGACGCCATATGGCTTCATTGATGTCGACCAGATGGGTGTAGCAGACTTGGAGGCTTCACCTTCAGGACTGAATGATGACCTTCATCTGCTGCCAGTCCGTGATGGTTTATCACGCTCTGAATCCTACAACGACTGGACAAATGTACCCTATGAACTAACAATGTTGGAGAGCGACCCATATGACCTTCACCTGGCCGAACCTGAACCACGTATTATTACCGAGCCCTCGGGGGATGATGACTTTGTTTTCTTTAACTGGAACGTTCCGGCAGCACCAAAGCAGACAATACCACAATCACCCAATGAATGGTCACCCATCTGGCAATCAAAAAAGGAGACACAAGTGAAGAACACACAAACAGTAAAGATTTCAGCTGAAAACATCACAGTAAAGGATTCAAATTCTGAAAACATTAATCCAAGTACATCAGGGACTTGGTCAGCTCAAGTGACAGAGGTGAAACTTAGTCCAAATAGCTGGACTCCTCATCACATTCTACCACCAGCATCCATTACTGCTACACCCCCTCCTCCTCCACCCGTCACACCTGCAAGACCAAGACCAGCCACAAGAAGAACAACAACTACAAAGCTAGCCCGCCCTACAGTCCCTCAATATAATCCAAGAAGAACTACAACACGCCGCACAACAACCACAACACAACGTCCTTCTTCAACGAGACGGCCAACGACAACAGAGCATACAACTACAACAACCAGGAGACCTTCAACAACAAGTACAACCACAAAAGCTACCACAACATCACTGTTTAACAACAAACACTTCACTACTCATCGCTTCACTGCCCCACCAACGACACTGGTCCCAAGATCTCGTACTCGGGTGACGTCGTTTACCCGCTCATCAATACCGTCATCTCGTCAAACAACAAGGATGCCTCTGTGGAAATTAATAAAGCGTCCAAATATTTCACAACGGCCCTCGTCCACTTCTTCGACACCTAAAACCACATCTACTACAACAACCACAACAACCACACCTCCTCCAACTACCACCAAAGCCACTACACGGGTGCGCACAACACGCACCACAACATCCAAGCCAACTACTCATCAACCTAGTCCACTTCCAACAGTCCACTCAACTATTCTGGAAGAAGTGACAGACAAGCCTCATATTACTGGACAGAAGTCAAAGGTTTCTATTTGGTCTAGTGCAGCAGATAATCATAAACTGGGCAAGGGCCATAACTACCAGGACAAGTCGTCCAGTAAACTTCTAACACCATTAAATATCAGTAAAGACAGATCAGTGAACATCACCCCCTACCATATGGATGAGTTCCAGCGTGCAATGCAAGGGGTCCCCCCTATTAGCGATGGCAACACTGATGTAGTATACTCCATCCCCATCACTGATGTGGAAGCTTTTAATGCTATGTATAAGTATTACCAGACACAAGAAGCAAAAGCCTTTTCAAATTCAAAGCAAGCTACTGGCGTCCATGAAGCAGTCCTAAAAACAATTGAAGAAGAAACAAATGAGAATTATTTAGGAGGCAGCAATTTGCCACATCAAGAAGACAGATTCCCTATCCACTATGCAACAAAACTTGAACAACCCAACTTTGAAGAGACTATTGCTCCAGCAGTTTTTAAAGAGGAAGAAGCTGTTCTTGTACCCACTGAGGACCCTCTACCACCAACACCATCCCGCAGTGATATACCCATACAAGATGATGACTCAGATGTCTCTTATCACAGAGATATTACAATGACAAAGTTAGAAAAACTTCAACCAGCATCTACCTCTGTAAAGCCAATGTTAGTGACCCAGATATCGACACAGAAAAGTCAACCAGAAGTGAGTGTGGCCATCAAAGAAGAACCCAAAGAGACACAGAAAACTTCCTCTCAGGCCAAGCATGACATATTGGACTTTAACTTACCATCTGTGAAAGATGCTACTATAGGTGAGGAAGTTAAGAAAGTACCTGATCAGCCAAAATCAAACAACAAGGCTGAGTTACCTATACCTCTCAATGTTAAATCTTCTTTTGCAATCACACAAGAGTCAACTGTTCTTCCTGTTTCATCAGAAGTAACTAATAAACCTCTTGTACCAGAACCAAGTAACCCTTCAATTACATCATCAAGTAATCTTCCAGTAATCCAAAAGCCAAATGAACTTCTAAGTGTACTAATACCAAGTAATATTCCCAGTGTATCAGGATCAAGTAGTTTCTCTTCACTGCCCATCTTAGGTGGCCTTTCAACTGCATTAAAACAAAGTGGTATTTCAAGTGAACCAGAACCAAAATTCAAGGTTATCCCCACTTCAAACTTCAAAACAGAACCAGATGTAAGTGCCCAGGAAATACCCCAACGACACTCTTCCTCGTTTGCTGTATTTCACGTTGATGAGGACAACATTCCTTACTTTCCAACAAAAGGAGAAAAAGAAAATGCTTTCTCAGTGGAAGAACTATACCAGCCAGCTGGAGTGTTAGTATCACAAGAGGGAGGTGGTCACCCAGTGTCACACTATCAGGAGTCCTCACACTTGTTCCATGAGCAGTTACCTCCCCAGTACATATCTCCAGAGGACATACCTCGTCCCATTGCCTATGGTGGTCCACCGCAACAATCAACCAACCACCACCAGGTCAAAGACAACCTAGAGGATATTATATTCAGTGCTAATCCACAGGAACTTTTAAATCAAGGCTTATTGCCTCGTCCAGTGCATTACGTTAGTACACAAGAAGAAGCCGATGATTGGATGCGGGACCAGGTCTCTGAAGAATCACAAATAGAGGATAGAGTCTTTACTGTAGCATCACCAGATCCATACAATGTTGTGCCTCAAGCTCCAGAAAAAAGTACAGAAGAAAATAATGTTAACTTTAACTTCAGGAAGCTGCCATTTGATTTCAAAACAAACAAGTGGTACCACATTGCTTTTACCTGGAATAGCAGAAACCATCAGGTCGCAGTGTACATTAATGGGCAACTGGCTGGTACACTGACTAATGTATTACCACATCAAATGGCACTGGCTGGAGGTGGTCTGACACTCATAGGGCAGACACTACTTCCTGATTTAACAGATTTTGACCCCACCTCACAATTCATAGGTGAGATTAGTGACGTAAACATGTGGAATAAGAAGCTAAGTGCAGAAAGTATACAGAATGTGTACAAGTGTGCAGAAACCCAGGAGTCTCCAGCCCTCAACTGGCACCAATTTTCCCTGAGATTTTATAGTGATGTTTTAGTTAAACAAGCTGATAGTGTGTGTGGTGCATGAAACACACTGCTGACAACAAGGTCAATATCTAGTGAGTGAGAAACTATAGGGTCTGTGGCAAGGATTTCTCTAAAATCAAAGACTATGACATGTCTTTTTTATAAGCTAATAATCAAGAAAGTATTTGTGTCATATACTATACGTGATCTGGCTCTCGTTGCACTCAGATAATGTGGTCTTTGACTTTTGCCTCAAAAAGCCAAATCTTAAAAGGCTTTTTCTGGGGTATTGTGGTAACATAATACAGTATATTACCTAATGACGCATCACAAAATTTGTGCTGCACAGCATTACTTGTAAGACATTTTTTCAACGTGCAGGTCACGTTGATTACTTTACCAGGTTTGTGTGGCTCAGTGACTGACAGTGTTGTGATGACGACCACACCTACTTTCAAGCACGAAGATTGTGAGTTTGGAAAATGAGTAACTTTGAGTGATAGTGAACATAAGCCTGGGTGTTGTTAAGTGCTAATCAACTGTTTATTTGTTGCCTTGTTAGTAAATATTTATAGCTGCTATCTTCAACCTGCTGTCCATTGTTACTACATGTGTAGTGTTACAGCACTTCATTATCTCTTCCATTCCTGTAATCAAGAACTTTGCTATTTATAACCTCTTAAAGAATGCAAATTTATGGTTATACTCAAAGAATTTGATATAGTATTATGATAAAATGGTTTTAATCCTTTACTATAAACTTAAATATGATCATTAAACAGTCAGAAGAGGAGTATTATCTCTTCTGGGTTTTCATATCAACTTATTGCTTAAATCTTAAGAAGAGTAAATAGCAAAGACTTATGAGAATATTTCTTCATAGTTATCATTAAGATGAAGTGCATATCAACACTAAGATTTCTGTCAATCATAATTAATCAATAGACTATTAAGTAGTTCTGCTAATGTGATGACACATTAATAAGACTACAGTTTATATATCATGTTACTTCTTTCCATTTGGCAAATGTCTCAGCTCCTTATTTTATATAAATCACAAAAACTAAGTACAAGTAAAAGATAATATTCTGACAAGGTATATTTTCTCATTGTGGAAATTTTCAAGCCTAATCTTAACATACAGTATTTGGCAGGTTGGGTTGAATTATTACATGCAACATCCTCTTGACACTTTTTCTGGACAAGAATCTGACTGTAATAGTATTAAGAAATATCAGTGAGCCAAGCCTTTTTATCCCATAAAGATTAAAGGTCATGGGAATAAATACATGGTGAAAAATTAATCAATATTGGTCAAGAAAATTATTGCAATTATTCCATACTATGAGACATAAGTTTAGTTCCAGGGCCAGGCAGGGTTAGTGACTCATCGCTGTCCAAATGATCCAGATTAAGGTAACCCCAAATACTTACCTGCTGTCAGCATTCTTTAAACAAAATGTCAAGTCTACAACCATCCAAACACCACTAGGGTACTTATTTTTTCTTTTTTTTTTAACTTTGCTTTACATTATTTTATATTCCATCTCTTTAGTTAAGGGATTTATCTTAGTTAATGTCTCATTTTTAAAGTTAAGTATAATACCAGTTCAGATTTTGCTCTCTTCTCCCTAGACCATTTGTTAAGTTTGTCTTGACAGTAAAAGTAACTATTAAAAATTGTTTGAATCCCAAACTTAGGCATTTTCATCTTTATTTTCAAAATGGCTGTCATCTGCGTGTTCTATTCAGTACGTACTTTGTTACTGGTGACAAAATCATCTGTGGTCCATTTGCAATTCAAATATATAATACTGTAGATTAGACAAAGTAAATTACTTCCTAAAGTCAAATACATCTTCAAAGACATGAAACTACCTGTAAAGTGGAACTTTGAAATAAAGAGTTGAAGGTCTTCTCTTAATGTTGTTGTCTTTTTCTTATCCAATTCCTAACTTTAACAAATTGCACAGTTACCATAAACTTAATAAATTTGTTATGACCAGTTTCTAATACACATTCCTAGTCTAAATATTACTTCAAGTTACCAAGAATGTCTATCCATCTCTTTCCAGTAAGGTGTGTCCAACCACTCAGCGGTCCCTAATGCATGGGCTACATTATGCCATGTTTCCCCAAATTCTTTCTCTGCTCTACCACATATTTATTTGAAAATACTGGATACTGTTCCAAATTCCTATCTCTCTCTCCCTACCAAAAAGTAACTCCACACTTCCATTCCACTCAGTCTTCTCTTTCCTCCCCTTCCCCATATATCACTAACACAACTTTCTTAATGAGAGAATAATGGAGATGGATGAGTCACGTGTTTCATATGGAAAATACAAGAATAGCCCAGGCGGCATACTGCTTGGCTAAGAACGAACAATGCAAGTGAAGAGACTCAAGAGAAAAATGATCGGTAAAATCTTGTGGAGGTATTTGTGTTACACGACATTGAAGTAGGTAAGGAAGTAAATAAGTAACTAGGTAACTAGGCAAGCAAGTACCGTAAATGTCCCAAGACCATTCTTTCCAGCAGTCCACATCATATTATTTTCTTACCTTTATACCATCATCTACAGTATTTCCTTCTTTTAATACACAGCATAATCACGTGCACATTTCTAATCATATTTGATCATGTTTTTCCACAGTACATCCTCAAATATCCATTCTCCAAGCTTCCCTTGTCACACTCTTATTAGCCATCCAATTTTTCACTTTTTCATATTTAGATAATATCAGCTGGAATGATTTGCTGGATGAAGTCAATCATAATGAAAAAATTTTTGGCAACACGTTCATTTGTGAAAAAAACAAAGGTAGTCACTGTAATAATTTGGTCACCGAAGTAAGGCGGTCACTGTGGTAAGGTTGTCTGTGTAATGAAGTGGTCATATTTGCTGACATTATATCTCACAAGTAAGCTGTACAAGATACCACAGTAAATATATACTACTATAGTAAATAGTAGCAAGTAAGTTCTATGAAATAAATTAATTGGCAACTCTCAAGGCCCATAGGAAGGGAGGAATGGAACGATAAATATGCAGTATTATCTCAGCAGTCAGACTGCGAGTATAAGCAGTGTTCATTTAAATTTCCATAACTCTGTGTGGGCTGCCTCAACTCTGGATTACAGTGCTTACCCTACTCCCTGAAATAATTTATTTTTTCTTGTTAGAGAAGTGAGGTGATGGGTGTGTAATATTTTTTTTCATATTTACAAGGAAAGTGTTTAGTTTTCAAAAGCCATTACCGTATCAGGCTATACAACCTCGTTATGCTGACAATGTCTCGAAAAAAGTCTCTGAAAGAGGATGATTTTCTAGACTTATATGAATTTTATCAGTACCAATCTCTTCATTATAGTGTTGGCTACATGATGCAATATAATTTATATCGATATAAAACATAGGCACAAAAATAATCAAAAAAGATTAAAAATTACCATTTGAATAATTTTTATGCTATTTTCTCAAAAACTATTGATTATATCAGAAATCTGATTACTGCATTGGAAAGCTCTTAAAATTTTGCTTCTAGCAGTGTATAGTACGTACTTAAATATATGGCTCAGACTTTTTTGAGCCAGGAGGTTGTGATCGTATTGTATTTTTTTCTCTCATGTTTATTATAAGTGACGAAAAATAGCTATATAACATGTTTGGTTTTTTTTGCGCGCGCGCGGGGGGGGGGGGGCTTATGTTGCAGAACAACCAGCTACAAAGTCAAAGACATATGGTTTATACCAATAAAAGCAAATTTTGGGGGGAAATTAATAAAGCTGTCTTGCCTGTCCTGGGGGCCTCAGAGATGTGACCTTGGAACTGGAAGACTTAAAACTTCTCTCATACACGAAAGGGTTAAGCACCATTACCTCAACCAGTCAAATATGTTGAATATGTTTATGGGGGTTTCTGAGAGGAAGTTGCACACACGAACACACACACACATTGCCATAACTACAGCATATGCTAGTCCTACCAACTATGCAAAAATCTTTAAAAAATTCAGTGTTTCTATAATACAGTACTGTACTGTACTGCAGTAAAGTACAATGATACAAATCAATTTACATGTAACAATGAAAAAATATACCATGTGTGTTTTATGTCCTTCACTTGAAACACTAAATGCTGTGAAAGGATGTCACACATAAGACTACATTTATCCAGATACAGTAATAAGTGAGTGAGTCTTTGAAGGAGATGTGGAATGTTGCAGCAAACAGACATTATATAATTGTATAGTATACAATAATGAATGTTATCCAGGTCTCCTTCCTGCCTCTGTGATTGATAAGTTCAAGGTGTGAGGTCATTTGACAATGATCTGTGTCTTCTAGTGGTTTTGAGATAAAGTATCAAACTCAATGGTAATGGTAATATCTGTCACACTTACTCTCACAGAAGGTGCAGAAAAATTACCCCAAAAAATAACAGTAAATGTTAACTAAATGGAGAAAGCCAAGAATCAGTAATGATGACCCAACCTACCTTGAGTGCTGCCTGGGCAACAAGAGTGAGGACCTTCGCCTGCCTTGCCTGGGTGTCTGTTCCACAAACACGCAACAAGCTTGCCAACTGCACCAGGCGAGAACCATGACGATAACTGCCTTTCTTGGTCTGCAATCCTTCCTCTATCAGAACTAATCGATCCTCACACAACCGAACTAGATACACAATAATGATTATCATTAATATTCAAGTACATGAAGATTGCATGGTAATTATAAAGTATCAAAATTTACATGGATTGAAAATCTTTACTTTTCTTGAGAAATCATGTAAAAAAAAAATTATATTCATACATATCTAAAGATATGCCATTTTATTAAAGGAAATTAAATAAACAATGGCTTGGCAATATTTATGACGAAAGAACATTAAATTAATTCATTCTACAGAGGGACTTTGTAAATGAAACCAAAACAAATTTTGTTTAAAGTACTTTCAATAAAATAATAATTAAAAATCTCTCATTCCAACATTTACATTAAGTATTTATTACCTTGCAGCGGAAGTTTATGGATACCAAAGTCTGGCAACATTTGAAGAGCTGCGATGAGATCCTTCTCCCTTTTGATGTCTTCATTCTCCGATTCAATAATTCGAAGACATTGCCTGAGGAAGAAAATATTTTTGAGAACTTACCAGTCACCAACCAGTGTAAAATAAATTTAACAACAATGAAAGATAAATTATGAAGGATACAACAAACTATAGGAAGACAGAACAGCATGCCATTAAATTCCACGGGGATTTGGTTCCCAAAATGGCCGCGAATTGCCAAATCCACTCAACACACTGACCCTCTCGAATCTGTCTGACCATCACCATGACTTTATCTGCAAATTTGGTGAGAAGCTTCTGCACCAACCTCGACACCGGCTCCTACTTTCACCCGAGATCGCTCGTCTGTGTACTGCTGTTTGACACCACAACCGCATCCAGCCCAAACGAGCACGTACTGATCACTAAAAGAACGGCCCAGTCCCAACCATTGTAAAAATTATCAACTTGTAATCAACCAGTGTATTCACTCCCAGTCAATCTAAATCTAACCTTTTGCACTGTTACTATGTTGAAATGACCTGTAGCATGACCTTCTCCCCACCTTGTTATTACATATCATATTTGTATCACTTATGTTACTTGTATATTATTTGTCAACCAAGTTCCCATACCCCAATTATGTAAATGTATATTTTCAGCCTTCCGGCTGCCATGCTCTTTCAATACACCGTTAATTAATATTATTATTATTATTATTATTATTATTATTATTATTATTATTACAGTATTATTATAATTATTATTACAATGCCATGATTAATCACTATTAAATACTATGCTATCAATAAACATTAATAATAACAGTATATCCAGTAAAATATGGCAAGGAATGAGGAGTTTACAACTGCAGATGACGAGCTAGGTAGCGGGTACGTATGGGAGAAATACATGAACTTTTCTCTCTTCACTTGTTTGGACCTCTTCCCGCAGCTGGATGAAGGTGGTTGAGGGCGTTTGGGAGCCATCACAAGCACGAGGAGCACAGTTGTTAAAAGAGCAGAGTAGCTTACATGTGAAACTACACGTGAAACGGACAAGTGTTTAACCTGGACTGAAGTGAAGTAGAGACACCTTGTGGGATGCCATAAAGCTCGCAAAAACGCCGCCAACTTTAAAACTACCCGCAGACATTCTTGGGTACACCCAGGGTGTCATCCGCAAATAATCTAAGGCCACAACTTAAAAATCCACGAATTGTAATGACATGCTAAATATATGTATATCGTACTGTAAGTGAGCCAAGAGAGTCTGTTCGTGAGAAGACATCTGTTTGAAATGAAAGATGGGGAAATGGATGATGTAACAGCAATAAAAGGAGCAGTGGCAGGGAAGAGATACTCATGGAAAAAAAAAACTTGCCAAATAATGTATCACTACTGTATAAGAGGAAGAAATGGAAATACAAGACAAGAATAAAGGTGAAGAAAATAGTGCAAGATTGTTGGGAAGAAAAGCAACCTGAGAAACCTACAAAAGAGGGTAAGGTAAGAGAAAGGAATAAGACGAGCAAAATAAAAAATAGAGAAAAACAATAATGAAAACATAGTGAGCATTCATTATGATACTGTACTCAATACATAATATTGAGCCTTATACTGTCTATCAATCCAACAATGGTTACTCACTCACTGGTAGCCCTAGAGTAGTAGAGTACAGTACAGTATTGCTAATAGTATATCCATAATTTATAATATCTTAGTGTTTTGTGTAATTTGGGTATCATTTTTTATCTTATATTCTCAAGTTTTTCTTTCAGGTTTATTGTGTCATAAATAATGGTTGTATCAGTGAAACTCCCGGGCTACCAGACCGTGAATTACCCTGTACTGTACTGTATATCAACCATAAACCATCAACATCATACGGAACTAATAACAATCTTACATTGCCAACTCCATAGCTTTATCAGCATGACTCTCAGAGGAGTTACAATAATGTGTAGCAGCAATGATCACCAGCCTCACAGCTTTAGCAAATGGCAGCTGCTGCAGGTATGGGTTGTTCACTGGAGACCGATCCACTCGCGTTTCTAAAAGCTCACCAGCAAACCGGATATTCTCACTGATACCAGAACAAAGAAGGGCCTCTGTCAATGTCTGAAATGTGAAATTACTTTGAAACTCATTTACTGTAGTTCAAGGGAACCCACACACTACCATTATGATGATGTACAAAAGCAAATGTAAGTATCGTATTCAATCAAACTTAAATTAAATTAAATGATCCACAAAACTGTCTATTAAAGAAAACTTATATGAAATACTGAGATTCTCGTCACAAAGTTCTGCCTCTGTAGGAATATCATTAAATTATTGATAAAACATTTTGAAAACAGTTTACAAAACATTTCAAAGAAAATAATTTGTAAATTATCTCTTTCCAACTGAAGGGTGCAACTGCCAAGTGGACACAGCACTCACCACCTGTCCTAAGAGTCCTTCCAGATGTAAATGGGATCCTAACTCTACAATTGGAAAGTAAAGGTGGTCAAGTGCCATACTGCCATCTTAGGTGCTGAAAGCTTAGTAAAGCTACATGTCTCGAATATGCCATAAGGCCTATGGAACCCATGTTCACTTTCTCTCTCTATACTTAGCAGATTTTTTGTTGCTGCATAACACAATGGTCAATTACTGATTTACAATTAAAATCCAGAAAACAGGTCAGAACATGGGTCCTCAACTCACATCACTGTATCCATATCACAAGTCATAGCATTTCCTGAGGACACAAGTATCACTGTATTAGTGTCTGACAACATGGTCTTGTGACTTGGCTTGTTGCTTCTAATAAATTAATTAAATCGTAAGTCAATTGATTGAACTAATTCTAAATGAGAAATTAGTTCTGCCTCAAAATAATAAAACAATCAATATGTACTGTACTGTACAATGTTAGTTACAGTGTGAACAAACTAAGTTTAGCAGAATAAAACAATGCTTGCAATAAGCATAAATAATACTATTAATGCCTGTACACAGTGTTAGGCTCATCATCCTTTAATAATGAGATATGCAAACAAACAAAAATCACAGTTTAGAGTGTACCTGTACTGGGCTAAACACATTCCAACAACTTGTTCTACAGACCAATATGTAATGTTTTCAAGTTCTTCTCAAAGAAAGTTTATGCTAAATCAACATTATCGCATCAAAAAACAAACAATGAGAGAAAGTTAAAACTATTTACAAAATAAAAATACAGTTTCTGCAAAATCTTGTCATGCCATTCAAGGAGAGGAGTACAAACACATGAAGAAAGCCATGTGTCTTTTGCACTTGTTGCAAGGAGCAAAAAATAGTATTGATAAATAAAGGTAAACTTTATGACTATGTTGAAGCTGAGAACAGAACCTATACAGATGATTCACAGTTACTATCAACACAAAATATGGTGTGATCATTTCTTACCTCCTTGCAGCAGCTCTGGTAAGCTTGGTGAATATTTCCCGGACTTTATCAGGGTCAGACTGCAACTGACGCAGCTGACAAGGAGTCACATTGACAAGTAGTTCTGCAGCTGTCAGATGAGCATCCAGAGCATCAGCCAGGTCATGTAGCTTGGCCAGGCTCTCTGTTCTGCTTGTAATACCAGAGAACACTTGAAGTTATACAAAAAATACCTTTTATGCCAGTAAAAAATAATATATATATATATATATATATATATATATATATATATATATATATATATATATATATATATATATATATATATATATATATATATATATATATATATATATATATATATATATATATATATACATACACACACACACACACACACACACACACACACACACACACTGTATAACATACATACATACATGTGTGGAAATTTTACAATGCTAAAATGGCATAAAAAATATTGTAACTAAAATTCAACATCAGGAAATCCATCATCAGAAGCCCAAATGAATTCCATCTCAAAATTGTATGATTACTGTGTATATGAATGGAAAGGTCTCCAAGATAATTTCATATTCTCAGTGAGATTAGCTGTAAATACACACTTACTGGATCAGTTTGAGTGAAGGAATTTTTTATGTCCTGGTGAGTATTCATATCATCTTATTCTCACTTACAGTAAGTATGTTCTTTATTTACTGTAGTATCTTCATTGTTTTAAAGTACAGTATACGCTTTCTACTCTTCTTTGTGATGTAGCCTCTTTTATTTCTCTACAGTATTAACACTTTTCATGAGGAGTTTCATGACACAACTTTGCAAAATGTAAAGGACTTCCTGTATGAATGTCACTGTCAGTATTGATGGTTACTCCTACATTAAAATACACAAACTTGATGAGTCTCATTTCATATACAAATGTGAAATTCATTGCAAGTTTTTCAGTTGGATACTTGTGATACTGTTTGTCCAAGTAGAGTCATGCGCCGGTTAACGTCTGACTGAACAACGTCCGATCGCATATACGTCTGCGTCTCAAAAAAAATCCGTGGACGCCTGCTGGACCAGCAGCACTCCACGCACCCCTGACAGAGACACGATTATCCTCCCCATACTGGTCAGATATTATGTGTTAAAGGAATATGCTTCCTCCCTAGGCTTTTTTGCTCCAGGTGTAATGTTAACCTACATCTATTGAGGATAAAATCTTTCACCTACAAATTGACAATAACACAGCTTGTAATCCGACATATCTAGTTGCCTCAACAATTGCACCTCCAGTTGTTAGTGGTATTAGGTTGCACTTCAAATTCTGTGGCATTACTAAGAACAGTGAAGTCTTGCACTCTCTAAGATTTAAGAGAGAAAACGGAGACTGTGCATCCTGATGAGAGAAAACGGACTCTCAGTATGATGGGGACCAATAAAAAAAGCATAGCTACATGTGGACTACAGTATACGCATTCTTTTCATCACTGCATAAACCCAGCCATGCCTATGTGTGTTATGATATTTACTTACAACATTATATATATATATAGTGGGTATAAATGGTTGTAAAATGGGAAACTTGGGGTTAGGTCTTGGGTGCCTGGAACCAATTAGAATAAATCCCATAGGTTCTGTACTTTCGTTATCGGCGGGGTCCCAATTAGGCGCGATAACCAAGGGATGACTGTACTGTACTGTATATACTTGTGACACTGGCCAGTTGCTTCTGGTGTTATGGTACAGGGGTACCAAGTGACAGCACTAGGATCCCGCTTCCTCTATCAAGGAATAAACTAAAATGTAAATAGAAAAAAAAAAAAACATTCAAATAATGGGACGTAGCGAACCTAAATGACCCTAGAGCTGGCACAGTCACGTATGCATCGCGTATTCTTCTAGATTGTGCTGCCAGGTGGACGTTATCTAGTGAATTTAGTCAATATTGTACAGTAACAATGGACCTAAGTGCAAACCTGTATTGTACATGTACTAAATGATTACGGTACTAAAATTGTTATGTCTATTGCAAATATAGCTTGTTTATACAGGTATTCAAATAAATTACTATCTTACAAGAATCCCACCAATGTAAGTTATATTCACCCAGGTCGTTTGGGTGGCAAATTATGAGAAGAGCTTAGTCACTCTTAAGTAATGATAAATAAACACGCAGGCCTTCAGCGCCAACTGTCAAATCTTATCTCAAATAAATAAACAAACAAACGCCAGACATTCTGTCACCCCTCCCCCCCCCTCTTCCCACCCTTCTTGTGTACCCAGACAAAAGATTGGTGATTTCTTTATGTTTATTTTATATAATATCTCAGACTAAAGTTAGGATAATATAATTTGCATTGCTGAAATCCTTGCAAGACAGAGATTAATTTGAATATAAGCATCATATATTTTGCTCAAGATATAAGAAATGTAGTACATTAGTGTACAATACTGTAGTACATTTTATAAAAAGTTTTTCAACTGTATTTTTGGGTAGATTTACATAAATTTCTTCATTTATTTTCATCCATTTACATGCACACACCATACTAAAATAAACGTAAAAGAAATAAATGACCTTAGTGCAAAGCTGGAGTGCACATGTACTAATTTGATTACGGTACTAAAATTGTTATGTCTAGTGCGAATTACAACATGTTTATATTCAAATAAATCAGTATCTTACAAGAATCCCAGCAATGTTAATTATATTCTCCTAGGTCATATCACTGGCATTTTAAAATGAGAGAAGCTTAGTAGGACTGTTAAATAAACACAGAGACCTTCGGCTCAAACTTATCACCTCAACCCCCCCCCAACCCCTCGCTGACTGGCTGGCTCCGTCAGTCCCTCCCTCCCTCCCTTGCCTTTTAGGCTTACAGCTTTTATCTTTTATAATATCTCAGACTAAAGTTAGGAGATTATAATTTGCATTGCTGGAATCCTTGCAAGACAGCCAATAATTTGAATATAAACGTCATATATTTTGCTCAAGAGATAAAAATTTTTGTACATTAGTGTACAGTACTGTAGTACATTTTATACAAAAGTTTTTCAACTGTATTTTTGGGTAGATTTACATAGATTTCTTCGTTTATTTTCATCCATTTACATGCACACACCATACTAAAAGAAACGTAATAGAAATAAATGACCTTAGTGCAAAGCTGGAGAGCACATGTAATAATTTGATTACGGTACTAAAATTGTTTTGTCTAGCGCAAATTATAGCATGTTTATATTCAAATTAATCAGTATGTTACAAGAATCCCAGCAATGTTAATTATATTCACCCAGGTCATTTCACTGGCTTTTTATAAGAGAGAAGCTTAGTCACTTAAGAACTGATAAATATACACACGTTAGACCTGGGCCAACTGTCAAACGTACTACCTCCCCTCCCCCCACGCCCCCTCGCTCGCTCCCACCCTCTCTCTCCCCCATCTGCCCGGCGTTGCTGGAATCCTTGTAAAACAGTGAATAATTTTTATATAAATGTCATGTATTTTGCACAAGATATAAAAATTAATCACCTGTACCACATTACAGTAGTGATTTAAGAGTAAAAGTGTATATGTACGTATATAGTATTCCACATACACGTAAGTATAAATACAAAGTTTATGTGATGATCGGACAACGTCCATTTCGGTTAACGTCACGTTTCCAAGAACGTACCTACGACGTTAACCGCGCATGACTGTATACATAGAGCTAACCTACCACATGTCTAATACTCACCCAGACTCCCTCTCTGGGAGACATTCAAGAATGGCAAAAGCTCTAGGAAGTTGATTCTCTTTCTCACAAGCGTACACACAATCAATAGCAATGGTCATCATCTCCTCTGCAGATGGGATGATCTGTGCATGTTGATCGGGTCGAGAATGCTGAAATAATATTCCAATTGTCACAGAGATTCTAATATATTCATAATCTATAAAACAAGGCTCACACATACAGTCATAAAAAATATTTCTCATTACAGTATACAAAAGAAGCTGTAAAGAAAATCACAGAAAACTGGCATTTAACCCCTTTATTACGGAGACGCCATGTTTAATATTTTATTTAAATTACGCAAGGGTTAAGAGTTAATATAGTTTAAGTTAAGTTTTCAGTGACTTCATGCACATGTTGCTTTAATATTAAGAGTATTTATATGTATGCATCTACAACAGCCAGTGACCAATACATTTGTTTTCCTGATACTTTCTCCCATCACCCATCTATACCTTTAACAATACACATGTTGTACTTGTGTATGCCAGGTGTTGTGTTCATAGACAAGGCCACTACAATACTGTATAAGTGAAATCAATATAATACAACCAAAGTCCACCCTCTGAAAATCTTTGGAGAGTTTACTCATAATTTGTGGTCTAAGATGTAATATAAGTACTATTGTACTGTACTGTCATCAAACTACTGAATGTTTCCATATTAACACTAACTCTTGTGAGTACGATGTAGATTCAGTAAATGGGACAATTTATGAGGGCAAAATTTGGGCAAGGTATTTGTTATGTCTGAGCCATAACACATGCATACTATAAGTGAACGTTACATCAAATTCCCTTCACTTACTATGTATTTCAGCTTAAACAAGTCCATCTAACACTGTAATTTCCTCTAAAAATTTCATCAACCTCCCAGAACACCTTCAGGGAGAGTAAATCCCCCACTCTTTAAGTATTTACTCTAATATAAACTTATTTATGTTCCAAGTTGTAATATAAGTACTGTACAGTACAGTACTGTTATTAAACTATAAATGCACATTTACATGATCATTCTTTTGAATATATATCTTTCTATCTATCTTTATCAGTATAAGCTGGTACAGTACAGTACAATATGTCACCTACAAACATTTTCAAGAGAACAGGCACATATTCATTTATATGAGGTCAAGTTTCCTAATACTGCTTCTTATACAATGATATCTCTGTTGGTGCAGAGCACTTCCGGCAATGAGAGATTTCCGGGTAACGAGACAGCTCTCTCAAACCCGGAAAAAAATTCCTCTTCCCCGGAATTTTCCAGATACAGTGAGTTCTGCTATAACGCGTGTTTTGACAACGCGGATTAGCTCTAACGCGATTGATGAATAGAGGAACAATATTTGTAAAATGCGAACTCGTTTGCTCTAACGCGATTCCACTCGAACGGTTGTTATGGCTTGGTGCGGGGTTATGCAGTGTTTACAGTTCACATTCGACATCACATGTTCAATTGAGTTATGTGTTTTGTTTGTGAAGAATTGCAGAAATAATTTATGTACTATTTATGTACACAGTAAACTACTCACAAGGTCCTACCACTAATTATTTTATACTGAAACTTACTTTTGGGAAGCTGGATTAAAATGAAGATTACCGGTATATTAAAATAATAAAAATGTATTATAAACCTGTCTAACATACCGTAAAAGAACAATATACCCCGGTAATAAACACAGCTGCTATCATCACCCACCCCCTCCCCCATTTGCCAGTGACAAGAAAGGGAAAGTGACCTTGACTGTGACCGCCTGTGGCTATTTTTAGCCGTCTTTGTGTTCGGAGGTGGTCAGTAATGCATATCTGTATATTTACTGATCATAATACTTATCTCTTATAAATAATTCATTTAAAATTTATTTTTTTGCAAAGAATATTCAGTAAATGACTGCATTAATTCTTGAAACTACCTACAGTGGTAAATTTAGGATATAAATAATGAACAGAAGTCACGTCATGGATTCGGAGTTTGGTCCTTAACGATCACCATAAATGTAGCCTCCCTTTTTCGCGAAACACGTATATAAATTAAAGAAAATACTTGCAGTATATTTAATATATTACAGTATATTATAAATAAATAAAAACAAATAAATTCAAATTCCCTTATCATCCTGTGTCATATACAGAAATACTTGAGTCCCTGAGCGAGTACACAAAAAGAAAACGGACATCCTGGAGTGGATAGAGAACGGACATCTCTACTGGGGGACTCAAACGTTTCTCATGTTTTGTGGGCGCTCTAGCATAATATGAATAATATGTAAATTACAATTTATATATATATATATATATATATATATATATATATATATATATATATATATATATATATATATATATATATATATATATATATATATATATATATAAATACAGTTGTACCCCACTTAACGCGGTCAATAGAACCCAGAGGGTCCCGTGTTAAGTGAAATCCGCGTTAAGTGAACAACAGAACATATGGGATTAATTCCAATAGAAACCGGCCCGACCCCCAAACTCCACTTTTTGAAGACACATAACTATGTTGTAGTAAAAATAACATCTTAATTTTATGATGGTACATGCACACAATTAATACTTAAGAGAAATAGAGAAATACAGTCGCCAAGTTAATGTCCATTCAAATAATGGACTCAACTCCCTCCCCCTCTCACACTACACTGCCGGCTCTTCCCTCTCTGAGAAATTTTTGGGGGAAAACCACTAAATTTTAATAAATAATACCTCAAACTAAAGTTAGGATAATACAATTGACATTGCTGGATTCCTTGTAAGACCAGGAATATTTTGAATATAAATGTCATATATTTTGCACAAAAGATAACATAGTTACTCAGAGAAAAATTTTTATCTAAAATTTGTATGTCTAATGCAAAATATATGATGTTTATATTCAAAATGATCACCAAATTATAAGAATTCCAGCAATGTAAATTATATTCTGACCGGGTAATTTGTATGAATTTTATGAGCTAAAACAAATATCTTCAGTTAATAAAAAAAAAAATAATCTTAACAACACTATCTGTCAATCAAAGTACCCCACCTTGCCTCCCCCCTCTTCCAACTGCGCGGTCAGTCCCAATCCTCCCTTCAAGAGATGTGGGGTGAAAAAAATAAATTTTAACATTTTGTATTAAATAATACCTCAGATTAAAGTTAGGATAATATAATTGACATTGCTGGATTCCTTGTAAGACCAGGAATATTTTGAATATAAATGTCATATATTTTGCACAAAAGATAACATACTTACTCAGAAAACATTTTATCTAAAATTTGTATGTCTAATGCAAAATATATGATGTTTATATTCAAAATGATCATCAAATTATAAGAATTCCAGCAATGTAAATTATATTCTGACCGGGTAATTTGTATGAATTTTATGAGCTAAAACAAATATCTTCAGTTAATAAAAAAAAAAATATATTCTTCACAGGGTAACAGATGGTCGGTCGGTCCCTCCCTCCCCCCCACCCCCCACCAACCGTCCCAAGGAGATGTGTGGGAAAACCAGAATACTTAACTTTTTTGTAATAAATAATACCTCAAACTAAAGTTAGGATAATATAATTGACATTGCTGGATTCCTTGTAAGACCAGGAATATTTTGAATATAAATGTCATATATTTTGCACAAAAGATAACATAGTTACTCAGAGAAAAAATTTTATCTAAAATTTGTATGTCTAATGCAAAATATATGATGTTTATATTCAAAATGATCACCAAATTATAAGAATTCCAGCAATGTAAATTATATTCTGGCCAGGTAATTTGTATGAATTTTATGAGCTAAAACAGGCAGTCAGGCAGGGTGGCGGGTGGGGCAAGTCTAAAAATAGCGTCTCGAGCCGGACACTCACCGCGTATATGTGGAAAAAATCTGTGCTAAGTGAAAGTTCAGCTCTGGCGAGGCACCGCGTATATGATAAAACGCGTTAAGTGAAACCGCGTTAGGCGGGGTAATACTGTACTTGGTCACAATTTTCGTGATGCCATATGGAAGTAGGATCTACCATTAGACAATACTGTACATTATGCTTCCAATATCTTCCCAGGCGGTAGTATCTCCCTGTTTGGTAGCTGCCTAAAAATTTTAGTAATATTACTTTGATACAACATGATAAATTAGACAAACAATGAAAATAAACAAACAAAAGTTATTTACCACGACCTTCTCTCTGAGAACAGAGGGTAATAGATGGAGAGCAGATATGTAGGTTATTTATAGCCCGTCTTTGTGTAGGAAGTCGACCGCACTATAAATAATTCTTTTAAAATTTATATTTTTTACATAGAATATTCAGTACATGACTGTGATTATAAAATAGGCCGAGATATACGGTATGTAATATTTATGAGTGTGTGATGTAAACAGAGCGCTTGGCCTCTCTCTCTCTCTGTGTACTGTATGGGTGGAATTCGTGGTTTACAGTGAGTGATACGAATGTCGTAACATTACTAGGCTGAAGGCGCCTGAATACTACTTAAACACATCAAAACTATGTTAATTGATCACTGTATAATAAATTCATTCACTCATAATTTAAAATTCCCTTATCATCCTGTGTTATATACAGAAATACTTGAGTCCCTGAGCAAGTACACAAAAAGAAAACGGAGGACTAAGACATCCTGAAGTGGATAGAGAACGGACATCTCTACTGGGGGACTCAAACGTTTCTTATGTTTTGTGGGCGCTGTAGCATAATATGAATAATATGTAAATTACAATTTACTTATATATATATATGTAAATTGTAAAAATTTAAATAAAAGAAAAACTAAATACGTAGCGTTTAAAGTGTACTGTACAGTGTTGTGGCTTGGCGCGGGATTATGCAGTGTTTACAGTTCACGTTCGACATCACATGTTCAATTGATTTATGTGTTTTGTTTGTGAACAATTGCAGAAATAATTTATGTAATATTTATGTATACAGTATACCTGTACAGTATATGTAAATTGTAAAATTTTAAATAAGAGAGAAAAACAAAATACATAGCGTTTTAGACCCGCTCGCTCTGTTTACTCCACACTTTCAGTTTGAAACACGTGTGAAGTTTTTAAGCGTCCTCAGTGAATTCTGATTACTGTTCTCCAATTTTGTGACTATGGAAAAGAAGAATATCTCCGGGAAGCATTCTGGTGATCGCATTTCCGGTGGTGATCGAAAAATAAAGGCTATAATACTTGAAGAAAAGCTTGATGTTTCATGACTCATCAACCTCAACATCAACCTTCTCCCCCATCAAGTTATATTCATATTTTCTCAAGGTAAAGTGTAACATTTACTGTATGATTTCATTATTAGATATGAATGTAACATTTATTTAGACTGTGCTATCCTTTGTGTTAGGCTAACTACGAAATTTTTTTTCCATTTGGAGTAATCTGCACCTAACCCTATTTTCTCCATAAGCCCTGTTATTTCTATTACACGAATTTTTATAACACAATGTTTTACAAAAACACAACTATCGCGTTATAGCAGAACTGACTGTAGCAGAAAAATTTTCTCAGAAGTTCCAAAAATTGCCCATTAACATCATCTCTCGAACCCGGAAAAATATTCTCCCATCCCTGGAATTTTCCTGGTAACGGAAAAATGTTCTCAGAAGTTCCAGAAATTACCCATTACTGTACATCATCTCTTGAACTCGGAAAAATGTCCCCCATCTCCGGAATTCTTTGGGTACCAGAAAAATATTCTCGGAATTTCCAGAAAATGCACTTAATCTTCTCTCAAAGCTCCCCCACCCCCAGAATTTTCCTGGTATCAGAAAAATTTGCCTCACAAAATCGCAAAATTTCAATTCCTGCTATCAAAGAGTTCCAGGTTTGAGGGATTCCAGCTAACAGAGATATTACTGTACTAAAATAAAAAAATAAACTTTATGAAAAATCACAAACCATTAAGTTCTCAACAGCTTTCTTGAGTTATCTTTGACTGAGTCCCATTACTGTTTACCATTGTGTGTATACTATAAGAATAAACTGTCTATGTATACTCATATACTGAACCTATGTGAACTTGGATGACAATTTTAATAACTCACTTGTAATATTTTCAGCGGCAGACCAAGATCTTGTTTGGCTGTGGTCACTACATATGTCCGCAGGAGTATCTGAGCACTGCCAGGACACCACTTCTCACACCGGGCCAGGAAGGGCAGAAGCCACCGACGAATGTTTTGGATGTAGGTTTCTGGAGTGCTCTGGTGATCAAACCACAATATGTTAAAGGTACCCTTGTATATTGAAAGATTTGTTTACAAAAACAAATCTAAAAATTTATACAGTATAAGGCAAAGAGAAAGCAAAGATTTCCATTCTTATTTCCTATTTAGCATTTTTTTTTTCCAATAACTAGAGCTGGGTAATATTTACATCATTTTCCATCACCCCTTTACCACAGTCTTCTATCAAAGGCTTAACACTAATGTTTGAACTTCATAAAAGCTTCATATCATTTTACTACTACCACAGTAAACCTGCAAACAAGCTGGGGCTGATGAGTCCATACGCCTAACCCTTGCTATATACGAGGGTTACATTCCGCGAAAACCTCACATGAATTGAAATTGCATAAAGTGAATGCTCAAGACTCTTGGGGTTTTCATACGCAAAATTGCATGATATAAATTATTCCTTTGGGGTTTTTATACACAAATTTGCATATAAAATAAAAAATTAAAATAAAATAACTTTATTGTTGTGTTTGATGCTAGATAAGCAGGGCGCACATTTGCCAATGTCGGCGCGATCTGGCAACTATGGAGACTGCCCTCCAAGGTTCGGTTACCACACCAGTCTCCCTTTTGTGCTTCAATGATGCAGGACATAACCTTGACCTACATTTCCCTTGCAGTGATTTCAGTTATTCATAACAGTGTTGTGATAGTTTTGAACCATGCTTTATGTTGCTGGTAAGGGTGGAGGGGTGGAAGAACGTAAAAAGTGCAAGGAGATTGCACCACATGGTGATAATGTGGCGCTTACGTATAGAAATAATTATTCTACCTTGATTACTCATATAAAACTATTTGTAGATAATTTACTTACAATACTAATGCAACAAACTCCACCTTTTTATCTTAAATAGCAAGCCTGCTATGACTCATGTACAATGATCTCGCATGTGATGCAATCAATCCTATTTACAGTATATATGACAATATAGTCTTTACAGAGCCAAGAGTGAGAGGTGAACTTACTGTTGACATGAGCTGAACAATTTTGTCATCATCAGAGAGCTTGGAGTATTTATCAAGGGTCATAAAAGTGAGGCCAACCTCATACACCAGGACTTCTAAGGAATCCAGTGTGTCATGAAGCTCTTCAAGATCCTGAAACAATGAATCAATGGTAAATACTGTATTGTACTATAATATAATATTAATAATCAGTATCTAAAGAACGGTCAAAACCTGTCCCATCAACCTCTGAAGCATCTCTCAAGCAACTCCTAGCAACTCCAGAACCAGTTCCCTCTACCTAAGCAGATTCTCCAGAACCAATCCTATTAACAACTACACCATAATCACCATCTTCAGTTTCATCTCAATAAAGCCTCTGTCACTTCTACAAATGCCCATATCTACATGCAAGACAGTCCCAGGTTTCAAAGTAAGGGTTAAACTTTAATATTTACTTTCATTTACTGTATTTTGTTATTCCATTTTTTTCTTTTCTCTTAAATTAAGTGATTCAGGATGTATAAAATGACTTAGGCTATGATATAGTGCGCATAGGGTATGTGTTCCAACTTACGTACATTTCTGGCTTAAGAACGTCCTCAGGAACGGAACTTGTTCATAGTCCAGGGACCCACTGTACCTTGCAGTTGTTTTGACAGGCTTTATCTAATACATTTTTAACAAGATTTTGATCTATTTTATAAATAGATCCTACATTAAATACTGAAAAAATACAGTATGGGTTAAGTATCTAAATACCAAAGTACTGTATACTCTTCGATCTGAAAATTACATCTCGCATGAAGATTAGAAACCCATACTTGTTTTACCAGATGATTATACACTGTAATCCTAACCTAACCAAACATAGCATATGCATTCATTTCTTCACTTAGTGTCACTGTACATTACTTTGTCCCATTTGTCTTAAGATTTATATAAAGGTTGTAACATCAGAGTTAAGAACCTGACATGAGAGAGTGTAATAGACTTTGCAGCGGGAATAGCTAACCCATGCAAACATGTAAAATGGCCGCAAAACATTGAAGATGATGAGAAGGGCAAAAGCAAGTTGCTCAATTCTCTGCCTATTCTGGATAGAACTTTTTTTTTAGTTAGTAAATCCATGACACTCACTCAGCCAACTACTGTACTGCTAAAGGTACATAATACACTAAAAAATGTGTTCTGGGTCAAGAGAGCTGACCTTTAACCCTAAACTCAGGAGGCTTCTGTGTATCTCCAAAGGCAAATTACCTAGCAATGTTTTAGTAAAGACATGATGTGTAGAAATTCAAATGTGTTCAAATGTTTGGGAAAGTTCCAAAGTGCCATACAAGTACCCAGTATGCACTCCTCAGAGAAGACACACTAAAATTAAGTAAATATACAGATAAATAACCAGATAAATAGAATATCCTACATAGCAAGTCTACTACAGTATTTCTTAAGCTGTCTCCATTATTTATGAACTCTTACCTAATAGTACTTACTGCATAACCCAAAAATGGCATTACATGTACTTCATAAAACTGAGGAAAACCTTACTTTCTAAAACTAAGGACTTGTATGATGATTTTACTGTATAAATATCTATCATTATCTTTCACAAGAAAGGGTTAACATATAGGTAGGGTAGGAGTCAACCACATCTCCATTGATTACCTCCATGGGTAAACCTTTCAATAACCATAATAAAATAGGCAGAAATGTCTTACCATCACACCTCTCTCACGCCCAAGTTTCAGAAGGTCCAGTGATGCATCGACAAAGTGGCTACACCTCTCTATCTCCCGTGCTCGCTCCTGATACCACTCACTAACACTCTCCGCAGTCAGACTCACTCCTTCAAACTTCTCCATATCAGGTCGCTCTGCATATAGGAAATCAGCTGGGTCATCTTCTCCTTCATTAACTGCTTCCCTGTTAATATGATAATGGTAAAAATAAATAACCCATATTTTGTTGAGACAATGACTACAATGATGGTGCAGTGGCAACTCACTTTTATGTCCTGGGTTCAATCCTCATCTTGGGACAGATGTGAGAAGGGTGTTATCCAGAGTGACCCTACCAAACACAACAGGTTTTCTCCAGGCATTACCAGGGCCAGATTCAGGAGTGGGCAAAGTGGGCACCTGCCCAGGGGCCTCCACAATTTGGGGGCCTCCACATATCAGGGCTGGTCGACTTGAAACCACATGAATGACTCCAGTCATGTCTCACTTTTGTGTGTGTGTGTGTGTGTGTTGGGAATTTGTACACTATCAATAAATATACAGTTAATTAAATATTTCTCAATGTTCTAATTTCCTCAATATAACTGCATATGGCTTCAAAATTCTCCAAAGAAGTGTTCAAATTTCAAAATTTTCCCGGGGGCTTACAGCGCCCCCCGGAACTCCCAGATGTTTAGGCTCGCTTCACTCGCCACCCCACCCTCTTGGGTAGTTATAATGAGGGGGGCCTCCACAAAGAGGCTGTCCATGGGCCTCCACAGGTCTAAATCCGGCACTGGGCATTACAATTTCCGCTTGCACTTACACCAGATAATAAATATCACAACAAAGTAATTAAGAGCAGACCAATTTCCCAAATGGCTAATAAGCAGATATCTGGTAGAATGGTAAATAACAATAGAATAAAATGGCTTTAGTATGGATAAAGCACAAGTGAGAGATGACCAAAATTTGATATGGACAAGCTGAACGGAACATGAGTGTATGGGAGTGACTTACAGTGAATACATCCATACTGAAATATCTAACAAAGACACAATTTCAATTTACCATTTCACCACTTATCAGCTTACTAGCCGTTCACACAAATGATCTGTTTTTTATTACAGTACTTTGTTATGAACTGCATTGTCCAGTGTCAGTATAAAAGAAAACTGGAGTACCCAGAGAAAACTTGCCATCTTTGATAGTGTCACACTGCATAACACTATTCTCACATCTGTCCTGGACCAGGGATTGAATTCAGGACACTGTGAGAGATACGTATGTTACCGCTCCACCAACAACACCCCTTACAGCCAAGTAACGAGATATATATTTATTTTATTTTTTTAAAGAAATGTTTAAATGATTAATGAAGTTCAACCACATCTCATAACTGCTAAAGAAAATAAAAGAATAAAAAATAAAATCTCCATAATGGAGTCACACGGTAACACTAGAGAAGGATAAGAAGCTGATATTTTTTTCTGTGAAATTAAAAAGTCCCACATGAGATACATTCCTTTTTAGTAATCAAATTTTAAAAATCATTACTTAAATTGCAGTGAAGCATACACTAAAAAATGCCAAATTAGTAATGTTGCCTTGCATGCTTAATAATTGATCTCCAAAACTTATTAAATAGGAACATTGAAGCTTTGCGGGCCATACCAGCACACAGGATCCTCACACCAGTCTTCATCCCGCAGCTGTTCTTGTTCCCAAAAGAACACCTCTTCTTCTTCACACTCAGGCAATAATAACCTAAACAGAGAAATATCAACATCGACTTCATCTTCATATAACTAATACTGTACTGTATTGTCAAGCAAATTACATACTAATACAAAACTTTAAATGTCTGAAACTTAAAATAAAAGGAAAATCTGAACAAATATCATCATAAAGAAACATGACAGCAAACACCAACAGTAACCAAGACAAACTATGTGAGTGAAAAAAATATATTAATTTGTATAATGTACCTGTACTCAAAAGGCCCCATGGTGGGTGGAAAACTTGATAAGACAGCCAGACGATGAGGTAAAGTCTCATCACCGTGGTAGGTAAACATGGCATCAACACCTCGCCAGTCATAGTTTCGGGCAAATTCTATGGTAGCAGAGATGGCTGACTGGCTGCGGAACTTATCAAAGAAGCTCGCATCATAGTGTTCTGGGGCAACATGAGCACCACCAAGAAGTACCTGAAGGGGAAAAAACAATGCATAGAACACTATCATACAGGCATTACAGGCTTTGATGATTTATGTCATGCCAAACAGCGTCGTTTCGATATAATATTTTTTATTAATTAAGGGAACAATATTTGATATAATATGCTAAAATTGGATATACCTATAGTGTCATTTTGAACTCAATCCGTTCCAGAAGGTCATTCGTTAACCGAAAAGTTCGTTAACCGAAACCATTGTTTCAATGGGTTTTTGGGTAATTGATTCCAGCTCACCGAAAATTTCCTAAATTCAACAAAAATGGTAGAAAAGTTCACTTACTTTGAGGTATGTATGTAGAAGGCTCCTGGATGATGATGATGATGATGATGGGATTTAGAATGAGGGTGGAGGAGAAGGAAGAAGAAAAGGCATTGGGGTGGAAGAGAAGTCACCCCATGGCGCCATTTCACCCATAAAACTTTAGCTCTCTTGGTGTAATTCAAGATTATTTTCTTTAAATCAACACTGCACTGCATTATATATTGTCAATATGTAAAATATATTTCAAAATGACCAATAATTTGCTTGGAAACACAGAAAAAAAAGCATTTAGTTGAAGAGAGTCTCAAGCAAGATGTTACCTCCAGTGAAAACAGAGAGAGACTAACGCCTGTTTGCTGTGTTAAGAGGCTGGATGCCGCGCATTAAACTAGTCACTTTACCTTCAATTATGTTCAATAATTGTTAAAATGACTAAAAAATTTAATATAAAACTTTTAAAATTATTGATATTTACTAAAATAGTAAGGAATTTAAGCCCTAGAACCGATTAATGTATTGGCGGACTGATACTAAAGCTGGTTGCCCGGCCAGTGCAAGCGAAAACATGTTGAGGTCGGTTCGTAAAGAAATTCGTTAACCAAATTTTTGTTCGTTAACAGAATTGAAGATCCTTATGGAAGGCAGTTCGTTAACCGAGGCGTTCGTTAAACGAGGGGTCACTGTATATGACAAAGACAGTAATGGAGAGGAAACAGACCCACATCATGTCGAGTTTGTTAAGGCGGCCAGTGGTGAGGACAGTGATACAGACAATGGCGCTCACTCCCCCCTCCCACTCTGCCACAAACTGCTTCCTGAACAGATAAAACTTGCAAAATTGAAAAACAAAAATGCATAGCCAAATAAAACTCACCTCATAAGTAGCTAAACGATCCAGATATGTAAGTAGTTTCTGCCGAGCACGTATCACAGTTTTCTGCTCTGATGTCAGATTCTTGAAGTCAATCTGAAGAATAATTATGTAACACTTTTCTGTTCTTCACTAAGCTCACCATGATCTAAGTCTCATTAATTTGGAATTCTTAATGATACTGTACCACATACAGTAAAATCTGTATAATACTAACTTTGAACCCAGCAGTTGGAAGAAATCTTTTTTAAGACTACATAATGAGTAATAAATAAATATATTGTTCCGAGTTGAGAAAACAAAGACAAACTCACCTGCATAAGACACTCATGTCTCCTCTTGAGTTCTTTGGCTGCTCTCTCCTGAGCCCTCACCTCATACTCACTAGGGTCTATGTCCAAGCCATCATCATAAGCCACATCAGAGTCACACACAATAAACTCGCCATTGTCAGTTTCATTACCAATAGCAACAATTGCCTGGAGAAATATGAGAGTACAGTACAGGTTATTAGTAATTGTATAGTGGCACAATGAGGTGGGACTATCAAAGGCAAAGACAATAAGATCCTGTTTGAAGCAAAAGTAAAAGAGAGACGGGCTGAACATGTACAATGATAAAGATAGAGTAAAGGTAAGAAACAAAAAGGAAATAAAGATCGAACTGCCAATTCTGGAAACAGAAGTTGAGGCAGCTGTGAGCAAAATGAAAATTGATAGCTTATGAGGTTGATCAGCTTCCAGCAGAATTTATAAAACAAATGGGCAAGAATGAGATAAAATGTCTGACTAAAATATGTAAGTCTATATACCTATATTACCTAAAAATCCAGGAGCCTCAGAGTGCACCCAGTTTAGAACAATTAGCTTAATAAGTCATGCCTGTAAGTTTTTTTTAAACATCAATACTGTATATGTATCATAAAGTTTAGAATAGACAGTTAATTATCTGGAGGGCAAAATGGATTTTAAAATGTATTAGGAACTAGAAAAGCTATATTTGGTTTGAGAGTTTTGAGAATACTTTTTATAAGGTAAAGCACAATATATGTATATAGATACTGCATTGGAAAAAATAAGCATTAGCTAATGAAGGAGACACACCAACTTCCCCATTACCGTCATCTCAGTCAACGTCGTTTCATTATAGCGTCGTTGAAATTTTTTTTTTACATAGAGTACTGATGTATTAAAATGATAAATGTACAACAATTTTACAAATTCGGTACGAAGTCGCTCAGCGCCTGGGTCAGCTGTGATAACAGCCAGATGTGTAAAGGACAGTACAAAAATTTAAGTTGATGACGTAGTTGGTAGACTGTAATGTCACTGTACCAGAGTCGGAAAAATACCAAAATTGTTAGTTAGTCCATTTTGGGGGTCAAATGGTACCATTATGGCAAACTATTATTATAAGTTTTAGAACTCTTTTATTTCTTTTATTCGATATAATACTGCTCCACATGATTTTGAAATTGTTTAAAGAATTGTGCAATATATCAAACTATATATACACCTGATGACAGTAAAAGTGAAATGAATTGTTACTGATAACCTTTATTATATTCTTGATTTCAAATTACCTTAAATTATCCTATACAATACAGTATGTATATCACATTTAACAAAGAAAAAGTTTTTTATGACGTCATGGTCTCGTAGCCAGTCACAACACAGGGAGGATAACCAATCAAAGCAATCGTTGTAAAACGCAGTTGGATATACGGCAGCCCTGGTAAGGGACCGGCATCAGTCACGGCATGGGTGCCATACAGTATTTGTTTGGTGGTTGGTTGATGTTCTCCCAATATTCACTTAAAAAACAGCTTTTAATAATCTAAAAGGCCAAATGAAAGGGAATATTAACTTCAGTTTGAGAAAAGGGCTGTTGAAAGGCTTTATATGGCAAGGACTGCTGTATGGGTCAGATGCATGGACACTTTCAGCAGACATAGAAAGAGATTGGAGGCATTTAAAATGTCATGTTATGGGCAAATGCTAAGAATAAACTACAAAAACAGAAAACAAATGAAAAATACTAAGATTAGCAAGAATTTCAAGAGAAATGCTTGAAATTTACAGAAAATGAAAAATTAAATACTTTGGTCATATAATTAGGGATGAGGGGATAATAAGAAATATTAATGGGCAAAGTTGAGGGTAGGAAACCCTGTGAAAGCAAAGAGTAGGATGGATATATGATATTAAAAACTGGGTATCCAGAAAGATACAAAATCTTGGAGGATTGGTAAAAACAACCAATAAATGTTTTGAGTGGAGGACTGTGGTCTCCAGCCCTCAGATATGAGGACGGTGCTCAGATTTATTTATTGACTCGAGGCAAATGATGGTATTCTCAGTAAACATGAATACCCTGCACAAACATTTCAACATTAAAAGTCAAAACAGATAAAGAAGAAAAGAAATTTCATAGACAACTCGAAAAATATTACAGATTCATAAAACATACAGGAATTGTTTTTTATCAGGCAAAGCTCTGGTATAAGATGAAATTATGAAATTTATTGTTAAAGCATGTTACCTCAAGATCTGTCCCTCGCAGTCCATACATAAGAAGCTCCCTCGCAGCATCAATATTCTCTGGGACGCGACTCACACACTCAGCAAGTACCCAAGACCGTTTGCGAATCTTAGCAAGATAATCCTGGATGGAGGCGACCGTGACTGAACTTCTGCGCCATTGTTGCTGATACACTCGATCACAGTCAAGGCTGGAGGAAATGGGGGCACGAGGGTTCTTAACTTACAATTAAGAGAAATCCTCTCCCAAAGCACATTAGCATCCCTATACCTAACTTCCATTGACAATGGCTGCCATCCCTACAGCTAACATCCAATGTTGATGGTTGCCATCCTTACAACTAACTTCCACTGATGATGGGTGCTGTCCCTACAGCTAATGTTCAATGATAATAGCTGCCAAATAAGGGTTAACCATGCACAGAGAGATGATATAAAAACTATTAACTAAAAATATAAGTTAAACCCACTTGTAGCTGCGAGCAAGTGCCAATGCTTCCCCATATTCTTCATTTTCAATTTTGCGAGCAAAGAGTTCCTCAGGGGTGGTGCTCTTGAGACACAACAAACGAAAAGTTCTCTGCACAATTTTTGGTCTCTTGCTCGGAGGTCGAAATCTAGTTAGGGGTTAAAAAAATCAAACATTTACTACAGCAAAATTTAATAATAATTACCATCAATGATGGCGGTATTTTGAGATTACTCATCAGTATCTATTTTCTTTTAAATTTGCCTTAATTATAAAATTATTATGAATTGGGAAAAAAATATCTGGCATTCCAAAAATTATACATGCTGCTAATCTCTTTATGTACAAAATTTATGTAATACAAGTAATGGCTTTCATCTCTGAAGTTTTTAAAACAATTAAATGACTATTTTAAAATATGGCAACAAATTTAAAATAAAACACTTAAATCCACAACTTATTCATATCACTAATCCCTTATATGACAACAAACTCCGGGTAACAAGGAAATCATACCTGAAAATTTCACACAATTTTTTTTACATTAATTTGGGAACAACAACTTTGAAAAAAAAATCAAAATTTAATGACTCAAGCCATTAATTCCTTCTATTGAATATTTCTTACATTAATCAGTTTTTCATATGTACTACTACAACTATTACTCTATAACAACTGCTAAATAAATAGCCAATTACAAGGTCTTTCAGGATTTTTAAACAAGATAAATGATGCACAATAAAAAAAGGTAAATAGAAAATGTAGAATGCACAAAATCAAAAAGTCTACTCAGTTATGCCTAATAAAACTGGCCTTTATGTGATACACTGTGGCCATTACTTTGTTGTGCACCACCAAGACACACAACACTCACGCTACACCACCAAGACACACAACACTCACGCTACACCACCATGACACACAACACTCACTCTACACCACCAAGACACACAACACTCACTCTACACCACCAAGACACACAACACTCACCACCACCAGACACACAAACACTCACACCACCAAGACACACAACACTCACTCTACACCACCATGACACACACAACACTCACACCACCAAGACACACAACACTCACACCACTCACTCTACACCAAGACACACAACACAACACAACACCTCTCACTGCACTACTCTCCAACTCTTACCTAACACAACTTTAATCATCCTCTAACATGACATCTGCATTTTTATGTTTGTGAGATGACTTCAAATATTTTATCAAGCATGAATGAAGCACAAAACAAGCTACATATACATTTCTTTCTAAATGTTTGCCTATAAATTGTTTCTTTTTCGCTAGATTACCTTTTACTTTCCTATAAAAAGGGTGTTCAATCTTTTGTAAACAGCTGTACTAAGTTTAAGAAAATACATAGATATTTCATAAACAAAAGGTTTACCTCAGGCCATGGCTAAAATAGTGATTCTCTCTAAACTACAGTTGAAAAAATATCAAATTGTAACTAGCAATCACACCCACACTAACTATTTCTGCACACTAAAATATATTCATATCTTGAATAGAAAGTCTTGGAAGAAAGAACATGGTGAACTTTCTCTCTGTCCAGAAAATCTCCTGTGTCAAGTTCTGCTGTGAGAAATACTACTTATAACCAAGTTGGAAGAAAAAGGTTTGTTTTTATCCATCAGCTCAATAATGTCTTGTAACCATGGTTATCCATCAGTTGCTGGCCACTGGCACTAATTTGATCAATTACAGTATTTGAAGCCCTGGCCTCTTAGAAGTGGGGTCTGGGAGGCAGAGTTCTACCACTTGAGGCTGACAGCTAAGTGAATCCTGGTGTTATTGCAGCTGTACTACCAGGCATTCCCTTGTCTACATGTGCACCATGTTTTGTCTATAGCATTTTTTAAGTTGATGTATTAAGTCAGATAATGTACCGGTATCATCGTTCCTACTTTAAAACCATTTAATTTCTTCAAAATATATCATCCCATGCAGTTAAATACTTTAAGTTTATTTACCGCTCAGCATCGGTGACCCAATAGAGAGCACTTTTAGCCAGCCGACTGGACCTCTGAATGAAAGACAACTCTTCCTCTCCATCAGACTCCAGGTACTCCTCTTCCTCATCAGAACCTTCATTTGAGGAAGTTAATAATCGCTTGGTATTTATGCGACTCTCTACCTCCAACCCTAAAAATCCTCGGTCATATGCCTCACTTATCTGCAAGGATATAAAATAAAAACAATAAATTATACAACACAGAATAGTACTTGTCATCTTTCATCTCTTTATTATTATTTTCCTTGGATTAAAACAACAAAGGGTATGATTCTTTTCTAACCACTTTACATACTATTTAATCTTTAACCGGCCAAAAAAGGAACACAAGGAACTTGAGAGGTTCACTGATGATGGCTACTATCCCTAAAGCTAACTTTCACTGTTCTAGTGTCAAAGCATTTCAAAATAATAACCATGAAATGTTGTTTAACCCTTAAGCCCCGGGTAACGTTCCAGAACGTCCGCCTTTTCCTGCCAATTTTTTTTATTATCATAATTTTTGGAAAGGTTGATTTTTTCTTGATTTATCCCCTTTATCCTCGCAGGGGAGGGGGGGGGGACTGCCAACAGCACCCTAACCCGGAGCTTAAGGGTTAAATCATAATTATTTTTCAGATGTTAACATGATCTACCACTTCTTATAGTCCCAAGCAATTAAATCTATACATCTAAAAATTTTATGTTACCAAATTTTTTTATTCATAATTTAACAAGCATGAGACAAAAATCCCAGAGAAGCAAATCCAGTATCCCTTCTACTAAATTATATAGGGAGGTATAAAAGTCTATGGATCTGCTTATAAAAGTACTGTATGTAGTATAAATACCATTTTAAAAACCTTTTGCCACCCACCTGTGGTACACCCTCAAGAAACTCTGGTGATTCCCCAAGTAAGTTTCTCAGAGAGTTGACCGAACTGACAGTCACTGCCCCGGAATATCTTGCCAGGATGACTGCTGCATCCGACCACCAACTAACATCTGCCAGGTGATTCCTTAAAGGTCCTGTATACTGAATGAGCCTCTGCTTCTGACAAGGGATGTACTCAGATGAAGAGGGGCTTATTGCATCAAAATGTGGCTGCAAAGACAACTGCCAGAATTTCTTTTTCCGTAAGGATGGAAGTTCCCAGATGGAGAGACTGCCCGACGTGTATAATGTAGACAGTTGTCGGCCAGTCGGAGACACACACAGTTGGAAGATATAGTCATGAAGAGTAGTCGAACGACTTCCAGTTAAACGATTCCATACCCCAATGCTGGGGGGTTGGTACTCGTCTTCATCAATTGTTGGAACCTACAAACAGGTATAGATACTTCAGTAAATTATCCTTCTTTTTCATATTTCAGTTTACAAACAATTATATAACACAGTATAAATAATTTAGGAAGATTGGGGAACAACAACAATGCAACATAAAAAAATATAAAAATACAAACTGGTCACACAACTGTATCAGTGCAAACTTGTCTGATATAAAGGACTGATCTTGATATCCTATTTTATGTCCGACCCCAAGACTTGTGTACGTACAGTACTACCTAGCTACTATATCTACATAAAAGAATCCCAGGTAAACCATTAATATTAGCAACTGCAAATAACCGATTGATTAGTCATGTCTCCTCACTGCAATGTAAGCCCTTAAAAAAGGGTGTTATAAGTAAGATTTACCACTTAATGTTGGAGACTAATTAAGTCTGATATCACAACAACAGTGTGTGTGTGCAAAGCTCACCCATCAGATGGGTCAGCCATTTTAGAATTTCAAACTCAATCCACTCAGTTTCCATGGATTGAGTAAAACAAACAAAATAGCCTAACAAATATAGTGTTGATAGAGAAATGATAAATTTGGGAAGAAACTGGTATTTTAAATGTACCATATATCTACAGATTGAATCAAATAAAATGAGCATGGGCACAAGTTTAAATACAGTACAGGTTGATAACCCTTTATCCGAAATTCCACCCGAAAAGCTCTGAAAACCGAAAGTTGTTTTTTTTTGGGGGGATTTTTTTCCTTTTTTTCTTTTTTAACAGGGATTAGCCCACCCAGGCATAGATCACTGACCCACATCTGGGCCTGGGGGGCGAAAATGTAATAGTAATAGTAATAGTAATAGTAATAGTAATAGTAATAATAATTATAATAATAATAATTATTCATAGTAAATAAAAATTTTAATAAAAATACACCAAAATAAAATAATAATGATAACAATAATAATAATAAAATATAATAAAATAATAAATAATAAATATAATAATAAATAATAAATAATAAATAATAAAATAATAAAATAATAAATATAATAAAATTAATAATAATAATAACAATAATACTGTACAGTTGTACCCCACTTAACGCGGTCAATAGAACCCAGAGGGTCCCGCGTTAAGTGAAATCCGCTTTAAGTGAACAACAGAACATATGGGATTAATTCCAATAGAAACCAGCCCGACCCCCAAACTCCACTTTTTGAAGACACATAACTATGTTGTAGTAAAAATAACATCTTAATTTTATGATGGTACATGCACACAATTAATACTTAAGAGAAATAGAGAAATACAGTCGCCAAGTTAATGTCCATTCAAATAATGGACTCAACTCCCTCCCCCTCTTCTCACACTACACTGCTGGCTCTTCCCTCTCTGAGAAATTTTTGGGGGAAAACCACTAAATTTTAATAAATAATACCTCAAACTAAAGTTAGGATAATACAATTGACATTGCTGGATTCCTTGTAAGACCAGGAATATTTTGAATATAAATGTCATATATTTTGCACAAAAGATAACATATTTACTAGAGAAAACATTTTATCTAAAATTTGTATGTCTAATGCAAAATATATGATGTTTATATTCAAAATGATCACCAAATTATAAGAATTCCAGCAATGTAAATTATATTCTGGCCGGGTAATTTGTATGAATTTTATGAGCTAAAACAAATATCTTCAGTTAATAAAAAAAAAATATTCTTCACGACACTATCTGTCAATCAAAGTACCCCACCTTGCCTCCCCCCTCTTCCAACCGCGCGGTCAGTCCCAACCCTCCCCCCCACCCCCCACCATCCTCCCTTCAAGAGAAAGAGTGGGTGAAAAAAATAAATTTTAACATTTTGTATTAAATAATACCTCAGATTAAAGTTAGGATAATATAATTGACATTGCTGGATTCCTTGTAAGACCAGGAATATTTTGAATATAAATGTCATATATTTTGCACAAAAGATAACATATTTACTCAGAGAAAACATTTTATCTAAAATTTGTATGTCTAATGCAAAATATATGATGTTTATATTCAAAATGATCACCAAATTATAAGAATTCCAGCAATGTAAATTATATTCTGGCCGGGTAATTTGTATGAATTTTAAGAGCTAAAACAGGCAGTCAGGCAGGGTGGCGGGTGGGGCAAATCTAAAAATAGCGTCTCGAGCCGGACACTCACCGCGTATATGTGGAAAAAATCCGTGTTAAGTGAAAGTTCAGCTCTGGCGAGGCACCGCGTATACGAAAAAACGCGTTTAGTGAAACCGCGTTAGGCGGGGTACTACTGTAATAATAAAATAATAATACAGTAAAGAAATACAAGAATGAAAAAAAGATCAAAAGTGAAAAACACGACCTAGACCTATGAATTATTATTATTATTATTATTATAATTTTTATTACATTTTCGCCCCCCAGGCTCCAATATGGGTCAGTGATCTATGCCCCGGTGGGCTAATACCGTATATCACGGCCTATAAGACGAAATTTGAACATTAAAAAAATCTGCCCAAAGTTAGGGGGTCGTCTAAACCACCAAGTTTAAAATTCTTACCTCTTAAATATTGTGGTTTAGTGTGTCAAGAGTGGTGATGAAAACATCGTAAGCCACTCACAAGGTCTTACCACTAATTATTTTATACTGAAACTTACGTTTGGCAAGCTGGATTCAAATTAAGATTACCGGTATATTAAAATAATAAAAATGTATTATAAACCTGTCTAACATACCGTAAAAGAGATTTATACCCCTATAATAAACACAGCTATCATCACACACCCCTCCCCACGCCCCCCCCCCCATTTGCCAGTGAGGAGCCGTGGAGGTGGTCAGTAATGCATACCGGTATCGGTATATTTACTCATAATAATATTTATCTCCTATAAGTAATTGATTTAAATTTTATTGTTTTACAAAGAATATTCAGTAAATGAGTGCATTAATTCTTGAAACTATCGATGGTTAATTACAGACGCTCAAGTGACGTCACTAGTGTTTACACTACACCAGCTGGTAATATTTGATGCCATTACTTGAAGTGAATTGGCCTTATTTTAAGTAACTAACTATAAATAAATACAAAAATTAAAAAAAGATCAAAACTGAGAAATAATATACTGTATGTATGTTGTGTTGTCAAAGTAAGAGGAACAATTGTGTAAGTACGTAATATTTTTTCACTCAAATCCTAATGAAACACTACTGGAGAACATTCCTTTGTCGCAAAACAGTTTATAAATTAAAGAAAATAATTACAGTGTGTTTAATATATTACAGTATATTATAAATAAATAAATAAAACAAATAATTCGGTAAATCTATTTAAAGTAAATGGAAAATAAGCAAACATGTTATTTACCAAGACCCTTCCATCTGGCTCAGGGTGAGATGGAGGGGAGATAACAAGCTATTTATAGCCCATCAGAAGTGACCAGTACCCTAATGCACCATAAATAATTCATTGAACATTCATTTTTTGTACATAGTATATTCAGTATATATATATATATATATATATATATATATATATATATATATATATATATATATATATATATATATATATATATATATATATATATATATATATATATATATATATATTTGTGTAATAAATGTATGTAGTAAGTACATACTGGTAACCTTTTTCACTCAAATCCTAATGAAACACCACAATTAGAATACGGTGGTTGCTGTTGAACCACATGTTGTATAAATAGTCACACCACCGAGACGAGGGAACACTCCCACCACGCTTCAGTGACGTCACTAGTGTTTACACTACACCAGCGGGTATAATTTGATGACATTACTTGAAGTGAATTGGCCTTATTTTAAAAAATCAAGGATGGTTGGTAAAGGACTACTGAGTCAGTGGGTAAGTGTCACATTTGGGGTACTGGTCTTATACAGCAAATAGAGCTCAAAAGCTACTTTTTAAATGGAAATTTGGGGGGGGCGTCTTATGCACCCCGCCGCCTTATAGGCCGTGATATACGGTACACATAAAAAAAAAAAAAACCCTAACCATTCTGAAAACCGAAAAATTACGAAAACCGAAATGCCTCTGGCCCCAAGGATTTCGGATAAAGGATTGTCAACCAGTACTGTATTTACATCAAGTAATTTTTTTAATAATACTGTATAAAAAAAAAAAATAAACAAAAATTTTTGCCACTTTTAAATTAAGACAACATAGAGAGGCAGCCCACAGGAAGAAAGATTATGAAATGGGCAATGAGCAGTGTGTAATACAATACTGACACCACCTAGAAGGGGAAATAAGAAGAAAGAAAAGGAATAACTAACTTAGTACAGAAATAGGGAAATTATGAAAAATATTTGAGCATCTACAAAATGAGAAATTATTCACAAAAGTTCTGACAAAGTTTACCTGTATGTAGAATGGGTAGTCGTTCACCATGCGCCAGATAGTAATGCCGTGACCAAGACCATTATTCTTCAGGTTGTTATCTTCCATATATTCACATAACCCAGCAACTATCACCAAGTTCCTGTACAACAGAACAATATAACAATTATCTGTAGTCAAGTAAGGCAGATTCTTCATCTTCCTCCTGCATTATTAACCCCTTGGTGGTCATGGATGAGTATGCTTGTTCTGTGTATGAGTGGCATTGTTGGTCATGGATGTGAATACTTGTACACGTCCTGCACCTTTGGGCTTCAATATTATGCCATCTTAACCATATGGCAACAGGGTTTACCATTAGTCAACACATTATGCTTCCAGTATCTTTCCAGGTGGTAGTACCTCCCTGTTTGATAGCTGCCTACTATCTATCACAGTGTTATGCCATGATACGAAGGGTGTTCATCTGATGTCTACTGTCAACTCACCATGCATTGTACAAAACCATAACTTAGACAAGGTAACAAAACAATATAGGATGAAACCTGAATGTGTGTTTTCTTATCATATAAGCATGAGATGTGTAAATGAGTCAGATGCGATGATCTCTGTGTAGAATGTGCCAGGAATACAATGAAATAGTATAGTATAAGAAAATATATTCCCATCTCCTGGACATGTCAGTACTAAATGCACACAAGCTATACCAACAAGTGACGGGAAAGAAAAAACTCCAGTAAGTCATTATGCCATCCACGTCATGAAACAACTTCTGGCTGTCCACTACCAGCCACATGAGCCTACAGTCCATCCGCTCCCAGCAACACAACAATGCCAGAATGCTCACTTCCCGGACTTTATCCTTTATACAGCAACAGAGCGACGCCCAACAAAATATGCCATGTTTGTGCAAGGAAACATCTTTCATGTGTCAGATGTGCGACGTACCACTCTGTGTCGTACCATGTTTCAAGGTGTATCACAGTGAAGAGCACTTTTGAAACATGTAGTGAAGTATTGCTAGTTCGAATAGTGTCTAAGTGTAGCCTAAGTATAGAAATAAATTAACTAAAAAAACACTTTGTGGAGAATAGTGAGAGCATGACATTTGACAGCTAAGTCACCTGACAAGCAATGTTACCATATCTTTGCCACATTATATATAAGTTATGTTTAAGCTTTTTTAACTTTATAATGTAGACCCATAGAATAAATAAGGAATAAGAACATAAAATAGGGAAAAACTAAGTGTAAGTGGCTTAAAAGGGGGTGGGAAGTGAGCGAGTGTGAAGTGGGCGGGAGGGGATATCTCTGCACACGGCACCACCAGGCTAACACCAGACAGTCACATCACCAGCTGGAGCATTTAAACATACTGTAAGTAAATTTTTGGGTGTATGTTCTGGGGGTAATTAGAGACCATTTAGCCATCCCCCTCCCCACACACACAAAAATAAAATAAATAAAAAAATTGTGTATCACCATGGAGGGTGATGACACTATATATAGCTGAACCACCTAAGGGTTAATTCAAATCATATATCATTCTGCCTATGTCATTATGAAAGCCTCATAACAGCAGGGAAAGCTATACTTTACCCTCCCTCTTAAGAATCTACTTCCTAAGAATGGAATTGCTCTGAATGATAAGAGTGCACAATGGGTCACTTTGTTTCCTGGAAGACACAAGAGATTGGTAGTTATTTTTCCTCACAAAAGATCTATACTACTGAACTTTGATGCCGGGAGAAAGCACCCAAGATAATTTTAACCAGACATACGGTTTGCAAATATAACAAACAACCCAAAGCATTTTTGTTCAAGAATATTTTGAGCTGAAAAATAATATTATTTACACTAAAGGTTTGATATTTAAAAATAAAATTATGACTTTCAGTACAGTACTTCACTTACAACATTAGTTAACTACTTAGATCATGGGGGAGGGGTGGTAAGAGAGGCTCTGAAAAGATGTGAAGAACTGCACTGATAAGTGTCAGTCTGTTGAAGTTTGTGACAGTGATGTGCAACTTACACAAGGAGTTGGTGAAGGAGATATGTGGTAATATGGAGTTTTAGGAGTGAATGGAAATGGAGAAAATTTGATAAAGACATGATTGAGAGTAGGGAAAGGTAAGTTCAAAAAGGTAGAAATTCATATACTGTATGTCTTCAGCGGTGAGGATATAAAGAAAAAATTACAAGGATCAGTGTAGAGACAACATAAATAGTGAAAGAAAGGTTCCAGGTGAAAGAAATTGAATTATATAAGAAAGGGTAGAACACTAAGATTAAATTTAAGGGAATTGCTAAAAGATTACAGAAGTGACTGAGATGAGGTAGGTATGTGTAGATGATTGACACAGGGGGGGGGGAATGAAAATGATGGGAACAGTTCTTTATGGTATCTAAGTAAGTGTAGCTGAGGTGTCTCGGTACAAGAGAAAAGGATAACATCAAGTGGTCTGCGGGAATTTTGTAGCAGTTAAGGTGAATGGGTGACAGCAATAAAAGGTGAGTCTGTGTTTGTTCTTGGATCCAGCTGTAACATAGAAAAAATCTAATAAATTAAAATGAAGAAAAAAAAGAATCAGAGCATTTAATGAATTACTGTATCGTACCCATGTGTGGTGGCTGCAGTGATCCCGCTGGGGTACATCTTGCTGAAGGAGAAGGTATGACTCTCCTGGTAACCCTCAGTTGGGGAGACAAAATAGCTACGAGCACCCCCTTTATAATCCACCAAAATCAGTTCAGCTGCCCTGTGTGCAAGAAGACATGTTGTAACTCCACACATCTCTAGTATTATCTTCAAAACTTTATAATCAATCCTTTAAATCATTTGTTTATTTCTATCAACCTTACTTCATTCTCACCAGTAAAGGAAAATGATTAAGAAACCTACTATAGTACTATAATAAACTAGAGACATTAATGGTCTCATTCATCATCCCTAACAAAGACCAAAACTGGCAGAATTTGTTAACTTTGGATAATATACAGAACTCCTGTTTGATGGTTTGGTTACAAAGCATAAACAGAACTTTAGTTACTGTGTGGATACTTCAGTATTTCTATTCTGATAGATGGATGGACACTTAGCACCATTACTAGAACCACGTCACTCACAAATATGTTTAGGAATAGTAATCATAATAATGTCCTCATACACTGTGCTGTTTAATGGCCCTATATTTTGTAGTACAGTGTGGACAAAAACTGCAAAAAACATTTTTGTATCACTAAATTTTATTTTCATTTGTTTACTCTATGTATTTCTAGAAAATAAAGTAATTTAAATAAAGACTTTGTGACCATCATACTGGATATACGGTATATTTATGCTCTATGATGTGGCAGCCAAACAGAACCCTGAAAATGACCTCCTTGTCATCACCAAAGCTTCTCACAAAAGGATCTCAACCCTATACATCATAGTAGTAACTGCAGTTGAAGTTTGCTTTCCAGTATTTAATGTCTTAAAGACCATGTTCAAGGGCTGCAATGATTCACTCATATATATGTACGGTAACTAATACTTACCACTTAATTTTTTGAGTCCTAATATCTGAGAAGACAAGAGTAGCGAGAGCATTACTGGCATCCACCTGTGGCGCACCTTCTCTGTACCTGAAGTTAACACAAACGTTAATGTTCCCTATTGATATGCATTACCCAGTGTCTCGTAAAATAACTCAGTAATGATAAACTCCAGGAAATAACATAACTGTATATATATCATCCAAAACTGCACTGTACTCACGTCACCCATCACCCTTCACTACACTCATCACACTATTGTCAACCATCACCACACTCAAGTCATCTTTACTCATTTTGTTCCATGTGTCATTTGCTTGTTCATAATTCACAATCATTATGTACTCAGCTGCTTCCATTTACATGTTCAGCCAAAGTTTCTCATACAGTACAATACCAGTAAATAATCCAGTTTACTGACACACACACACACACACACACACACACACACACACATATATACATACTGTAGTTACTTGATGATAAATGTCTTACCTTGGAGGGTAAATAATGAAGATTGAGGTACCTAAAGTGTTGAAAATCTCAACAGCACCAGAACTGTATGACACACCCACCATCGAACAATCAGCGGACCAAGCCACGCGCCTCCATGATGGGAAAGGGTCTATGTATACTGTGGAAAATAAATATATATACTGTACAATCAGCATAAGAAGCGATGTCACTGTTTTCAGTATGATTCGTCAGACAGCGATATCTGGCAACTTGGCAGGAGCCGAGCGAGTGACTGACCACTGGATGCTGTTGTAATGTATACTGCATACCGAGCTTATTATTATAAAAAGGCTACCTTTGGTTTGTTTAATATTTGTTCTGACAGTGATACAACTGAAAATAGATCCACCAATCACAATCACCATTACATACTCGTACAGCCTTACTTTACTAAGTATTGCCAGATAAAATTGTGAGCACGAGACCCAGGGTGGGTCAGTGCATCTTTGGTTGACTGTACACTCTGATCTACCTCAGTAGCCTAAAGAGAGGGACACTAAGGTACTCAATCCCAACTTAAATATAAATAATGGTAGCGATCCCAGGATCAATCAACCATTTATAACATTACATAAAACTCAAGCTACTCTTTATAGTAAAAACAGCAAGAAAGGAAATAGGAGATAATATTATGTTCCCAGTGCTATGTCCAGTTTGCATCCTGAATGGGAGAAATACTACTAAATTAATTTAATATTGGTTCAAGAGTAAGCAAGAAAGAAACAATCCCCACAGTCCTGAGGTGTTACACTGCTAACTAAAATACCATACTGTACAGAATGTTACCAAGGTTTTCTCTGAAGGATAAAGTTAATAAAACTGTCATCCAAAGTGCAAAGTCCCAAAGTTCTCAAGTCCAGTGAATTCAGCCTAACTGACCAAAGTGAAACACCATCCAAATCTAGATACAGTACTAAAAAAGCTTCAAGTCTCAACACCACTAACCTAATAACAATTTGCCCCAAAAAATTTAAACGTAAGGACCTGACGAACTGGTCCATCCACTCTCCCAATCTGGCTTTTAAAGACAGATTTATTCTGAAATAAAAATTCATAGGAAAAGAATCCCTAACTACATACAAGCAACTGCAAAATTCCATTTTCTCAATACTTTCTCGCACAGTACTGCTTAATAGAGTGGCCAGAAACAAGTGCTAATAAACACACACGTTCTCCCTTAGATTTCTTTCATGCCATCATTCCTACTAATGTAATATGTGTGTTCTGCTATAAAGCTTTCTTCCACAACAAGGCTCAAAATTATATTTACCCCCTTACTTTGCAGAATGCCAGCAGCACAGCCCTTCCCCGACACCACTCAAAGCTATACCCCCCCCCCCTCACTTCTAGAGCATCTTTTCATCTTCTTAGACTTTCACTTCTGCATCCACTCAGGCACTGCACTCCTAACCACTTGGTAGTATCTCATAAAATATCATAGACACTGTATTTAAATTTCATGCAGATTTTCAAATTGCATTGCTCACTACCATCACAAAATTTTCATTCCCAAATGAAAATGCCACTCACTCTGCCTATCTAAAAACATTGTCCAGTATTGTATGACTGGGTATTGATAAACAACAAATCTTACGGTTAATATTCCTGCCCACAACTGACGCAAAGTCATCTTTTTTGGCTCGGATCTCCAAGGTGGCAGCCTGCACTATGGCTACTACAGCCCCCTGAGCACCAACACCAAGCTGCCATCCTGACCGTCCTCCAACTAACCTGTAAAATATCAAAATATAATATTTGGAGCCACATATTTGATACAGAAAGATAATCAAACATATTGTGGATACATTATGTGTATATAAAGCAATCTGGCTATTTTGGTTAGTTCACTTCTCCAAATGATCAAAATTCAATATACAGTACGTCCAGATAATTAGCAGATTATTATTTCGTAGTCCTCTATTATTCACGGATGACACCCTGGATGTACCCAAGAATCTGCGGGTACAGTAGTTTTAAAGTTGCCGGCATTTTTGCAGCCGGTACAGGAAGCGTGCGAATTTTGTGGCGTCCCGCAAGGTGTCTCTCTTGTCCCGGGAGGCTGGCCCATGTGCGCCCCGCTCGCTCCACCTCAGACCAGGATAAACATTTGTCTGTCTAGTGCGTGTGCTACTCTGCTCTCATAACAAATGTGCTCCTCGTGCTTGATTTGGCTCCCAAACGCCCTCAACCACCTTCATCCAGCCGCGGAAAGGCGCCCAAACAAGTGAAAAGAAGGTAGTGTATTCATCCCATATGTATGCCTGGCTACGCCTAGCAATGGGAGCAGGTGAAAGGAGTGACTGCTAGTTAGCGTGTCGTCTGCAGTTTTAACTCTCCTCGCTCCCTGCCATATATCACAGGATTTTTTACGGGGATTAGCCCACCCGGGCACAGGTCACTGACCCACATCAGGGCCTGGGGGGGCGAAAATTTAATAATAATAATGATAATAATAATGATGATAATAATGATGATAATAATAATGATAATAATAATGATAATAATAATGATAATAATAATAATAATAATAATAATAATAATAATAATAATAATAATAATAATAATAATAATAATAATAATAATAATAATAATTATAATAATAATAATAATAATAATAATAATAATAATAATAATAATAATAATAATAATAATAAAGAATCATAAAGAAAAGCAAAAATGAAAAAAATAAAAAGTGAGAAACAAAATACAGTATGTATGTTGTGTTGTCAATAGTAAGAGAAACAATTGAGACCCTGCAATTGTGTGTAAATGAGGCAGAAAGTCAGATCAGCAACCTGGGACTTGGTCACAATTTTTGTGATGCCATATGGCAGCAGGGTCTACCATTAGACAACACATTATGCTTCCAATATCTTCCCAGGCAGTAGTACGTCCCTGTTTGGAAGCTGCCTACTACCCAACAATTTACTGTTGTTAATAGAGTTTACTGATAAAATAGTGCTTAACAGTGATTAATCATGTCATTGTAGCTAGGTTAGTTCATCACTGTAACCTCCAGGCTATTGGGCCAAGCTTCGAGGTGCTATGTTTTTTTTTTCAACTCGTATAGTGACAGTGCATAAAGGTAAGGTTGGCTGGGAGTGAACACATACACTGGTTGATTACAAGTTGTTGATAATTTTTATAATGGTTGAGACTGTGTGTATGCACACATACAATACAAGTAAAAGAAATAATTGTCTTAAGGTCAAACACATAAAGGGAATATACATTTCTTTGAACACAAGTAAAAATGTACCCCTGCCCCTAGGTCAGCAAATGTTATTCACGGATTTGGCGATTCGCGGCAATTTTGAGAACCTAACCCCCGCGAATTTGAAGGGCATGCTGTACAGTATGCCTGTAATTTCAAATTTCATTTATTGTATATAGAAATCAGTTACACTAATGAAAAAACTTCCCTTCTCAACTATATATACACTGTATACTGGTACAGTACAGGTGAATCCACAAATTTCGTTGATGCCCTGGAGATCTGACAATCAGCAAAACTGGCATGGTGCAAATTCTTACCACCAGAGGGCTCTGCGCACTACCTAACTCAGTCCCGCCATCTCTGCTCTTGTTTACACTTACTATGTGTCTCTGACTTCATGTTTTTTGTTATTTCTGGATTAGTGTATAACTCAATAATGTCTAAACATCCCAGTGATAATTCCTCTTGCATTGGGCAACTTGATGTGATGCAATAAGGTGTAATAAAAGTGGTGATGGACCAGCAAAGAGTGGTAGAAACTTGAACTTGCTACCCTAAACTGTCTCTATACCATCCTCAACACAGGTAAATGACTCAATTTATGCTTTACATTGCTTATTAAGGGTTATTATGCTTGCTTTATATGTCTGCTTTATTTTCTTGCTTGATAATGTGCAGTACAGAGATATATGGAGGGTAGATGGGAGTTTTTAGAGGGTGGCCAGTCTCTAACCCCCTGAATTTGTTATGTTCTTATGGGATTAATTGCTTCGATAACCATTGAGTCACTAACCAACGACTTTTCCCAGTCCCTTTATGTGTCAGTTATCGGGGTATGCCTGTATACAGGAGATCTCAGGGTTACCTACGTCCATCTTATGAACATCCACCAATACGAACGAGGTCTCATAAGGTTAAACTTTATTTTTTATTATTTTTTTTATGGGGATTAGCCCACCCAGGCACATTAGACAACAAATCATGATTCCAATATCTCCCAGGCAGTAGTACCTCACTGTTTGATAGCTGCCTACTACCTACACCTGATGACTTATTTTTTACTTTCATTTACAGTACTACTGTATTTTGTAATTTTATTGCTTCTTTTCTCTTAAATTAAGTGAATATATATATATATATATATATATATATATATATATATATATATATATATATATATATATATATATATATATATATATATATATATATATATATATATATATATATATATATATATATGAACTCGGGCTATGATATACAGTAGTGGGATTTTAAACATTGTTCTGTAAGTATGATATGCACAAAGGGAATATGGTTTGACTTAAGTACATTTTCGACTTAAGAACATCCCATAGGAACAGAACTCAAACATAACCCGGGGAATGCCTGTACAGTCTGTAGTACATATATTACTTTCAGCTACTCTTAATATTCTAGAGTTGAACTTAATATTTCTAGCAACGACTGTACAATGATACAAATAAAACATTAAAGAAAGGTTATAATTCTGCATATAGTAAAACCATCATTATGATATGGTAAGCAGTCATAAGTTGCTCTAAATGAACCAACTTCCTAAATTCTCATTACCATATATCCATCACAGGGCACTAAACATGACTCACTCACTTGGCTAAACTTGGAGAGACAGCTGGTGCAGAGCTAACATATGCCCAGAGTGATGATGCAAGTGCCCAGATGTTACCCGGGGTCTGTGTGACTGTTCGATAAAAGAAGTTCCCACCAAGGCTGATGGCACCACCTCCCTGGAAGAATGTAATACAACATTATGCTCATACATTCTACTAACTTTAACTTCTCTAATTCATTACTTTTATCTTTAATATCCTGAAGCAATAACACCCCAGAAGCCTGACAACACAGAAAAACAGTGGGTTAACAAGAAACAAATGTTATATTTACTGCTTAAACAAGTTCAATATTAAAATAAAGTGGTAATTTGACAATCTAGACCTAACATACCCAACCTATGGGTATGTTAGGTCAGGTTCTATTAGGTTCTATGCATTGTCGTTTCCATTTTTGTGTTTAATATCATGATATTAGTGTGCAGAAAAAAATTTAAACCAATTTGGACAATTCCTTCTGGTGGTCACCCTCTTCTACACCTTCACCAAACATACTGGTCAACACCCGAGGGACTCTTCTCCTAAAGTAAAAATTTACAGTTATTTCCACTGCTACCTCTGTTCTCCACCTAAACCGAGATTATTTTATATTTGTAAAGTTGCTGGTTAATCCGCACGTCTGTTCCCAAGTGTTAATAACATCTCACTCCCGTTATTATCGTTGGTCCCGTTACATAACCATTGGTGAGGGATCAAATTAACATATGCATAGGTTACTTTTACAGGTATTACAGTATTATCGTTTCGGTTATCCAGGGAATCTTAGGAATTTAGGTTAGGTTATAGTCCCTGGGTTCTGTGCTAGGTTAATTTAGGTAAGATCAAAATAATTCAAAACACGTCAAAAACCGCAGGAAAAACATAGGGATGACCGAAACTATAATTTTACCTTTTTATAATCAGCCAATATGGATCTTAATACCTTCAACCATTTATCTTACTCAGTACATATAACACTAGTATGACACAACCATCATCTTCACGGGTCGATCGTCAAGTCTTTTTAAGATATATTGTGTTAACAATACTTACGATAACTTCTTGTTCTAATGGCCATTCTGCGTGTACCAAAAGTTCATACAAAATATTGTCCTCGTTGTCATTATACTGCGCTGGCACCATGGTGAACAACCTGGTTCACTAACTACCACTAACACACAGTGCCACCGAGCATCAGCTGAAACATGTAAACAAACGCCTCAAATTAAAGACTTTGTTGTAAAGAGAACATTTATGTCTGAAATATCATGTTCTTCATGCTAATCTATTTATTTATTTATTTCTATATCTACTATATTTAAATTTAAGTAATACAACAAACGATTTTTTTCACGTTTATATTGTTATCAACAGAGTTGATATGTTTATGTTAATGCTAAAATACTACCACGAACAATTATGGACAACAAGTGGTTGGAAATCTATTAAATTTTTAGGCAATTAAAAAAATACTAATATTAATTCAAATTAACCTCAGATGACTATATGTTAGCTTCGGTTTGTCTACCTTCAGAAAATATTGGGTATATTTTGCCGTTATATGTTTTGTGTATCTTTAACATTATTCATTTTATTTGACAGTTACAGGTTCATTAATAGATTTGTCTATTGATTATTAATTGTTCCTCTACGATGTATTGTCTAATGGGGGCACTTGAAGACCTTACACCACAATAATACACTTTAATATTAACCAATAAGAAAATAACGAGCATAGTCGCGCCAAATCGCCCTGTACTCAATAGCCTACTCTACGCCATATTATTAAATATACTTTTTACTTTTATCCTTCTTCACCACTGATCGGCTCGTTAGCCACAAGTCCAGAAAACTGTGAGGGTAAACTTTTTGGGGGAGAGAATTGTGAACTCTTGGAACAATCTATCAGAGTTTGTGACGGCACTGAGTGTGAGCTCATTGAAGGTCAGACTTGACCAACACAGGAGCAGGTTCCAATTTATTCAGGAGCCAGTTCATGCCCAGTACTTGTCAACAGTGCGTAACAGAGACATGGCCGACTGCCCAAGCGGCTAACGAACCTCCTCCGCCTGCCTGGCGGTCCTCTCTCCCGCTGGCGAGCATGGCGACCCACAAGCTGTCCTCTGAGCATCCTCACCAACCAGCTCTCTCTACATCACGCTTGTAACCATGCTGCCTTCCCAGCACCAAGCTGCATTGTACATCCAATACAACATGTATACAGAGAGCACATTGTGAGTTTCCTTTCTCCATCCCATCCTGAGTGTGAACCAAACATCCCATACCCCACAAGGCATATCACAAGTCCCAACAGGACGAAGAAAACAGCCTTAACAGCGACCATAATATGAAAAGGACCTGGGGGTGTATTTTTTCATTGAAATTATTATTTTGGGGGCAATAATTATAGACCAGTGAGCAGAGGTTCAAATTTTGTATGCTATCTTCCCAGTGTAGCAGCCCACGGCAACAGCTTATAGAATGGAATGTGTAAATCACTTGGAAATTTCAACCTCCTCCTACCTGAACTGTTTCCACCTCCCAGGTTGCTTGTCACATTGGTATTGTCACGATCACGAATCACGATAGTTCATTCGACCAACCTGCTGTGTTTGGTTCCCAGGTGAATTCTTTCTGCTTTCTTCTACGAGTCGTTCCATCAGTAACACACAATCGACAAATATGTATGGATCAGTATTAAGTTAACTATTAGGTGCTTACTTACATCTTATGAGAAATATTCATCGAACCAACTTTTGGGAATCGTGGTCAAGTTGACTCAAGTTTTGATCCATTTACTGTTCATTATAAACAAGGTTCAATACACGTCCCAATCGGGTATAGATCACCCACCCACTCGTATTCCACGAAGCTGTTGCGTGATAGTTGTTAAAACTGTGATATCAGCTGCGCCACACACAAACACACGTCCCACTCTTCATAGGTCCATAAATTAAATAATCCTCGTAACTGAAAATGTAAGAATAAAGTACACTGGCGTAAAGTGGTACTAAAATATATCGTCCTAAAAGGCATTCGAATTAAAGTGAAACTGCATTTACCAGCAACGTTTCCTTAACAGACAAAATTAATTACACAAACCTGTATAACTTCGTTCCCTAACTATAGTACCGGGTGGATGTATTTAGTTAATCTAAAGTTGTGTAATATTGATGTTATTCTTACCCGTTTGTTTTGTGTTTTAACTTTAACAAATTCGGGACATTGTTAAATCTTCACTACAGTATTACCAAGACTTTTCATTGTGTAAAGTTATGCGAATTGGGACTGAGTGTAGCCAGCATTATAACGTAGATTCTTTTTTTTCCCAGTCCTAACAAGGTATAAGAGAATACAAATAAATATTCTAAAGGCTCACTAATAATTTTGTTTTAAGGTAATACTTAGATCGTCATGTATACTTCAGTGAACAAGATAGTGGAGTTCTCGTATCTCCTTGTATAGAAAAATATCTTTTACTTTTATCCTCTTCACCACTGATCAACTCGTTAGCTGGTTGGGCGGTCGGTCACGTCTCTGTTCTGTTAACAAGTAATACTGGGCATGCACTGACTCCTGAATATACCGGAACCTGTTCCAATGTTGATCAAGTCTGGTCTTGAAAGAACTCACACTCGGTGCCGTCACAAAACTCTTTGGCAGATTGTTCCAAGAGTTCACAACTCTAGTTTAGTTTCTTGATTCACCCTCTTCTCACAATGGCCTGAGAACTTCAGTTCATTGTTAGCATACACAACCAGGTCCTTTTCACATTCGGTCTCTATTAATGCAGTTTTTTCTTCCCATCGGGACATGTGATACGCCTCCTTACTCTTGGTACGGCCTAGGTGCTTCGTCTTACACTTCGTGACAAATCTTAGCAGCCATTCCTTCGACCATTCTTGACATTCGCAGAGATCTTTCTGCAGCTCTTCACAGTCTGTTTGGCTCTTATTTTCCCTGAATAACGTGGCATCGTTCGCAAACATATTGCATTGAGGAGTTTATAGCTCCCGGCATGTCATTTCTGAAACAAACAAACAACTACGAGCCCAATACATTGCCCTGTGGTACCCAGCTGGTCACGGTTACACATGGCGACTTCATTCAACATACGAACGATTAAGAAATCTTGTAGAGCATCAATCAACTGAGCCAGCCAGCCAGCGTTTTAAATGCAGGCAATCTCAAGTTCAAAATTACCCTAATTAGATAAGGAAGATCGTATATCACAAAAGTCATTTAATATATAAGACAAACAAGGCACTGAAACTACACTGAGAATATACTGTGTCGTGATGTGTTTTTATCCATTATTAAGAAAATCAAGCATAGGAAGAGTCTCTAACAGAATTACTTAACATTCATGGTTCGGGCTTAATAATACAAGAAAAAATTAATATGAGAAGCGAGTCGGTATAAACTGCGTACTGTACTGCACATGTAATGCCATAGAAGACTTTTATTAACTCGAGTAATTAAGGACATAAGAACAGTACATGTAGTTTAAGTCGCAATTCAACCAATAAATTTGGTATCTATAAATTTCATAGTGGTGACTACGTAGAATATCATAACGTGATCAATAATGTGTTATCTGACAATGATTACTCTAGATCCGTCATAATAAAAAAAATGTAAACACAAACAGCTGATAATGCTTCCAAACTATTCATGTCCGGGTTATGAGAGATTCAAAGTTATCTCTTAATCGCTATCACCAGGTACCAACAGCTATCAGTACTGTATATATAAGAGAAAGTGTTGTTATAATGCTATTACTGTGATTCAACAACGAAGGCAGTGGGGGTCGGTATTAGAAGTACCGTAGTTGTTATTGTGAGCGTTTGGAACTTACCTTACTTGTACACTGGTGAGTGAGTCATACATTATGTCTCCGACTCTAGACATTTATGTAGTCTTTATTCATATACTTATATACATACATTTCGGTGTGCTGCTGCATCACCTGCCTTGAGCAACCCATGCACCCAGCACCGCGCCTACCACTGCCCGACCCACAGGCGGCTCTCCCTCCTCCAATTTTTTCATTTATTAAATTATGTACTGATTTAGTTTCCATCCACATGAGCGAAATGTATTTTCCTTGCCTTTCTCTTGTGACTTAATTTTTATTGTAACGTCTTGTGTTGTCATTAGTCTTACGTCTGCGTGTTTTAGTAATAAGCCCTTAGGTTTTGGTCCACAAGTGTTTTATTTATACATCTTTTAGTTAACTAATGATATTTGTTATTGCTTTTCCAAACAAACATTTCATATTCACATGTTCACTGTTATAGATACAATGAACGGGCTGTCGAAGTGTGGGCTGTGTGGTGGAGGGTTTGATGATCAGAGACGAAAACCGCTGCTGCTGCCGGCGTGTGGCCACACCTGTCTCAGCTGCCTTGAGCGACTAGCCCAGCACCGCGCCTACCTCTGCCCGACCTGCAGGTAACTAGCTCTCCCTCCTATCTTTTTTTACTTTATTTATATAGCAAATTTAAAGTTCATAGCAATCCAGAAGGCGTTTCCCATTCATGGACGGGTATAGAGAAGGTACATAATTTTAAAGCAAGCCATTTAACAGGGGCGGATCCAGTGGTGTCCTAGGGGTCCAAACCCCCCGTTTTCACAAGTAAATTCCAGTACTTTTTCTTTAATGCAGTATTGTACTCAGGTGTTTTTTTTACAGTAAAATGTAATTACTATTGACCTCAGAATATTTCCTATTATCAAGTGCACATGGCCTTAAAATGGCCTCAAAATGCTTATGATATTGGTCAGATTTTAAAAAAAATGGGGGGGGGGCTATGCTGTAAGATACACTGTGGACATTAATATAATGTTACAAGCAGAACACGAGGTGTATACATTACAGTACAATATAGCAGAACACGAGGTGTATACATTACAGTACAATATATTGAATGGCTGGTGATATTTCCATGTTCGAGTGTCGCCGTACCTTATCCTCTACGCCACTGATCGCTTTGTAATGTGGGGAGGAGTTAAGGAGTACCAGGCTGAGGACAATCTAGTGTTTATTATGTACAGTAATATATATCTTCAATTCTCAATCACTTTCAGATTTATTTATTTATCGAAATACATTTTCTGCCTGGCCGGGAAACCAGAGAATGTAAGGTTCATGCATATCTCTGGGTCACGCATAACTTCTTATTGTCGTCAATGTGAATATTTATCATTCAAGTTTAGTATTAGAAATAAGTCTCTATATATTGTTTTGATATTAAATTAAATAAACTGCCGCACGACACGATAATTTTCACACATCAAACTCGTTAGAATAATTATGTGAGATATTAAAGATAATTAATTAGTTTTAAATTCTATAAAAAATAATGATACTGTAATCTTAATTTTATATCATTAAGTTTGAAATAAAAGTTACGCCCAGTAGATATATTTCCTGGATCTGTCGTTAGGGAATTAACCAATTAACCGCTGTCGTTTATCAGTTTACAAAATTACATTGGGTTCTTTAGTTATCGAGTTATCATTAATCAGTATATCACCATTTACTCTTCCTTAACAATAACACATACTTTTTAACATGTGAGTTGTGACTTCCGAGTCTTTGTCATATATTCCAAAAGCTATACACTCCCCAATACAAATTTTTGTGGTCGATGCTAAGTTATGCAGGGAAATTAAGAACCAAATAAACTGCGAAGCACTGCAGAAAGATTTTTGTTAGATTCAGAAGTGGTCAAAGGAATGGCCTGTTAAGATTCGACTTAATGAAATGCAAAATGATGTACCTAGGTCACTCCAACAGTAAGGAGGCATATCACATGTCCTAACAGGACAAAGGAACGTCAATAATGGAGACCAAAAGTGAAATGGACCTGGGTGTGCATGTTGATAACTAGTTGAAGTTCTCAGAACTATTGTCAGAAGAAGGTAAATCAAGTAACTAAGCTAGTAGGTCTTATAAGAAGGGCGCTTCCATAACGCTCTTCAGAAGTGAGGTGCTTTCCTGTTTGAAGTTCTGTCTGGTCCCCGAGATATGCTAGAGTGTCAGTTTATTGAGAACGTCCACATGAGACACATCAGACTGGTGCCTGCCCTACGGCACCTCAGTTACCCAGATTAGAACGCCTGCAGTTGCCTAGTTTATACTATAGACGGACAAGGAGTAACATAATAAAAGACTTTAAAGTCAAATATTATCTACTATATCTACATTTTATATTTTTAGTGGCTTCAATTAATCCAATGCCCTTAACTACTGTATGATAATTTATTGTAACAATCCTGGGGAAAGTTTTTCAGATATGATAGTTCTTACCCAAATTGTACTTTAAACCAGTTAGCATGTGATTGAGTTAGAACCTTGTCAGTGATCCCCATGTAATCAACTGTTAAAAAAAAAACACCCCAGAGGACATTACTCAGTCGAGAGTTCATACCTAGCTATTGCCCGCACCACTAGAGGTCACAAAATCAGAAAAATCAGAGCAAACTTTTTGGAGTGATAATAATAATAATATTTTTTCAGTAAAATTATATATATGAACTATGCAGTATTGTATACAATTCAGCATAAATATAGACAATGTAAGACATGCGGTATACGTAGGCCGTGGGAGTATACAGCACAGTTCCCATTTCTTGCCTATGCAGTGTAAGTATACAACAATGGTAAACAGTAAAGCAATTTGACCAAGGAAAGCCGACAAAGCTGTCAGATGCTTATTTCCAGGAGGGTCCTTCGCTTAGGTTTACACTAGTTGTGAACTCTTGGCATAATCTGCCAGTGTCGTGTAAACTCATTGAAAACCAGATTTGACCAATACTGTCGAAGGTTAAGTTACAATACATTTTGAAGCCAGTACAGTACTCGCTAAGTGTATAACAAGCTGCTAACAGGACTATGATACTACACTATCAGTGGCAAGAGGATAAAGTAAAGTCCTCATGTGAGCTGTAACATACAGCTCTCTGTGTACTCTAAAGATTTTGAGGCATCGCTTGGTGATGAACTAGTACAACTCTCACAATTTGTTTTACTGTGCCAAGATGAAAAAAACACAAGAAGAATCAAATGAGTTGTTTATGTATCGTATTATCAAAGATAAAAGACTGTCATCAACTTTTCCGAATGCAGAGATCATGCTGAGAATCTTTCTGTCACTAATGGTGTCTAATTCAAGTGGAGAACGAACTTTCTCGAAGTTGAAGCATAGAAAAAATGAGCTTCGTTCAGCAATGTCCCAGCCACGTCTCCAATTTCTGTCTCTTATGAACATTGAATTTGATATTTTGCGGAAACTTAATTTTGATGATATCATTGATGAATTTTCTAGAAAGAAAGCTAAAAGGTGTTTGTTTAAGTTACCAATAGTCGTGCATTTTTATTTTTGAGTAAACAATAGTAGCAATCAATTTAGTAATTTTTTGTTCTTGTTATTTATATATACCTTGAGGGTAGGGGGCCCCCAAGCTGATCTGTGCCTCAGGCCCCTATTAAGCTTAATCCGGCACTGGCTGTATGACATCAAAATCTGTTATTGTTTTGACGTGTCACTGACTGTGTTGCATCAGGATACGTTAGTAATGTGAGCAGGTTGATAAGACAACGATAATTTTTCGACGCTGATAGATAAATAAGACCTGAGAAGGTGAATCAAGCAACTAAATTATTAAGTCATATAAGAAGGTCGTTCAGATATCCCTCGTAACGCTCTTCAAGAGCGAGGTGCTTCCCCGCCTGGAGTACTGTCCCCGAGATATGCTAGGGACTGTCAGTTGATTGAAAATGTCCGAAGGAGGGCCACCAGACTGGTACCTCGTCTTCGGCACCTCAGCTACCCAGACAGATTAGAGCGCCTGCAATTGCCTAGTTTATATTACAGACAGGCAAGGGGTGACCTAATTGAGGTGTATAAACATCCCAAAGGGCACTACTCAGTCGATTGTCCATAGCTGGAGCTGGTGGACACCCGCCCTACAAGGGGTCACAGCTCAAGGTTGAAGAAGCCACAAGTCCAGAAAACCGTGAGCGAATTTTTTCGGGGTGAGAGGTATGAACTCTTGGAACAACCTGCCAGAGAGTGTTGTGACGGCACCGAGTGTGAGCTGTTTCAAGACCAGACTTGACCAGTACTGGAGCATTTTCAGATACATTCAGGAGCCAGTACTTGCCAACAGTGCGTAACAGAGACGTGACCGATCCCCTAAGCGGTTAACGAGCCGATCAGTGGTGAAGAGGATAAAAGTAAAAAGTAAAAGTAAAGAATGCGTGTGATAGGACCATCGTGGGATATTGGAGGCATGCGGAACCCCCCCCCCCTTACACACACCACCTAAACATTTTCCGGCGTTATCTATGTCGCTATTCTTACTTTGTCCTAATAATATCTGTTGGTTAAATAAAAGTACTGTATGCTGCTTGTCACCTGTAAAACAATCAACTAGTGCTGACCCGCTCATGTAACTGTATAAAGAAAAGTAATTTGAAGCCTATAACATTATGAAAACTGCACCTACATAAAACTTGTAATTGTGTATATCTGTAACGGTATAAAACCAATAGCTGGACTAAAACTAGTGTGAGAATTTGTGATTGTATAAAATATTAGCCTCATGAAAAAACCATACAAAGTTTGCAACTGTATAAAATCCACAACTGTATAGAAATAGAAATATTACACTTGTAACTATAAAACATGAAACTGCATGAAATTTTAACATTAAAAAGCATATTACTAGATAACACGTCTAACTGTATACCTGTAACACATGTAACTGTATAAAGCATATACCCGTATAACACATATAACTGTATAAAGCATATACCCGTATAAAATATGGGACAACATAAAGCATGTAAACGTACGAACAAATAACTCAGATGACCTGTAACTCTGAAATATAACTGTAACCACACAAAATCAACACATATACAAGACTAACTGTGTAAAACCTGTAACCTATAACACTGCAGCTTGCCTATAGAAAACTTGTAGCCTATTTAAAATCTTGAGCCTGTAGAAATTCGGTATCCCGTCCAAAAATTCACGTTTGCTGGCGTCTCCACAGAACCGGGCAGCCAAATGGGAAGCTGGAGACATTGCACGTTAACCATGGCCTCCTAGAACTGATCATTGCCCTCAAGGTAAGACCACCATCGTCACACACACACACACACACACACACACACACACAGACCCAAGCTACAGTCATATCTCCACACACACACACTCAAGATACAGTCATACACCTCCACACACACCCAAGATACAGTCATACACCTTCACACACACACTCAAGATACAGTCACACCCCCATACACACACCCAAAATAGAGTCAACCTCCACACACACACACACACACACACACACAAGATACAGTCACATCCCCACACACACACACACTCAAGATACAGTCATACACCTCCACACACACCCAAGATACAGTCATACACCTTCACACACACACTCAAGATACAGTCACACCCCCATACACACACCCAAGATAGAGTCAACCTCCACACACACACACACACACACACACACACACACACTCAAGATACAGTCACACCCCCATACACACATACTCAAGATACAATCACACACTCAGGGTTGGTATAATCATACATGTGCACACTGTACAGTCATAATCACTGATATACTTGCCATTACTTTGGTACTAGGTTACTGTATTATGTATCGGCTGGTAATAAGGCCATACTTAAGATGAATAGCATTATGACACCAAAGCCAAGTCAGTTCTTTAAGAGCAATGTATTGTGCTGCACCTGTACAGCATAACAATAGCACTCAAACATGGTGTTTTGTGAATGTGTCAGCTCTTTTCGGAACAGATGTTATTTCCACTAAAAAGAAGACCTGGAATAATAATAATAATAATAATAATAATAATAATAATAATAATAATACTAATAATAATAATAATAATAATAATAAAAATAATAATAATAATAATAATAATAATAATTATAATAATAATAATAATAATAATAATAATAATAATGATAATAAAAATAATAATAATAATAATAATAATAATAAAAATAATAATAATAATAAATGTAAAGAAAAATCCAAAATCCTATAACTGGGGCTGATAAATCGAAACTCCTTCGATTTTGGTTAAATATTGTGGATTACTGTTCACTCCACGAGGGGGGTTGACCCACCAAGGAGTAACTCATCACCATAATACGATTATGACTATGTTTTAAATTTATTGCAGGGGATCGCCAATGACGCTAGAGATGAAAAAAAAAATAAGAATAACATGGAGGCAAAGAACAGACACGACAAGTGCAGGATTCACGACGGGACGCGTCTCATGTACTGGTGCGTCACCTGCCAAAATCCTGCTTGTGGGGAGTGTGTTGTAGAGAACCACCGCAGTGAACCACATAAGACCAACAAGATCGCAGACGTCGTCGAGGACCTGAAGCGTGGGGTAAACACGTCAATTCTAGAAATACTGGACGACATTCACAAGGTTTGCGGGAACCATCTAGCAAGTGAAAATGAAACTTCTTCATACATCCACAACATTGGTGACCTGTCCAAGGATATCAAGAAGACAGCAGGAAAACTTCTTTTAACCACAATTATCCTCGAGTCTCAAGTGACAGAGATGAAGAACACAGGGCAGAAACTCAAGCAAATGGAGATGCTGGCGGAGGAGATGCTCTCTAATGCACCAAATTTTCCTGTAGGTATCTCCGGCATCAGGGAACTGCAGAAGTACAAGGGGAATGTGCACAAGCTAAGAGAAGTTTTCACGACCAAGACCCAGCTACCCTTTATGAAGGCAGATGAAGCAACCTCTTTCCTTGCTAGTGCCAGGACCATCGTCACATCCCTAAATAACAAGGCCTCCTGCCTCACCAGAAAGGTTAATTATTTCTCACACTTGGTGAACTGACATTTGGGTCAGTTTGCATATGCCTTTTTCCTCTTGCGCTAGAAGTTTGGTTATTAATAAGATATTTGTGGCTTATTGTAAAATTTTGTATTGTTTTCTTGAATTTATTTCCAGTAACCTATAGGACGCCCTTCAGCTAGGCATCCTTTTAAATTGTTGAAACACACACACACACACACACACACACACACACACACACACACTAAAGTGAATGGTAGGCAAGGATTCATGAGCTCAGGATGTGCCCACCGAGTCTGGATTCTGATAGACAATGCCCCGACAGGTGGGGAGCCATTGGAGACAAGATGTACTACTGGAGGTTGATGAAGGTAAGAGTGCCTTGCTGCGCTGGGAAGACCGTGGCCTCCACCTATACTGCCCCAGGAAACAAAGCAACCTCAGCAACAATGATAAGAAACCCCATTTCAAGGTGAGTGGTACACCATGTAAAGAAGATGTAAGTGTTTATTTTTATCGGGAGGAAGGAGTGTGAGAGAGTGAAATTAATAGAGGAAGTTTAATATCCCTGAAAATGATAGTAATGTAATGTGAAGGTTAAAGGCCTAACACAACTCTGACTGCAAGATATAGAATGGTACAACATTAAGTCATCAGTGTAAGATTTCAGTCATCATATTATGGAAATGAAGATATCAATCATTATGTGTGTATGGTAATATTGGATGGTGTTTCCTTTGCCTTCTTCAGTGGAACAAGATGCTGAGTCAGCTGCAGGAAGAGGTCAAAATGGTGTTCATGGACCTTAGGTGGGGCAGCAGGGATGAGGGTGGGCGTGTGTACATCAGTCTGAAAATCAACCAGCCCGCCTCCCACCTCCTGTTCAACCTGTGCCTCGGACTCAAGTTCTCACTACTAGACAAAAAACTCCCACAAAAGGTGAGTCATACCACTTATGTATATAGTGGTGCATTGTTGCTTGTCCTCTGTATTACCTCTTTTGTTTGTCGAATTATGTTCCTTATTTTGGGACATGATAGCCAAGTGGATATAGCACTCGACCCCTGACCCAACAGTTTCTGGCTCGTGTCCTACTACCAGTAGTTGAGTGGGGCACTACCAGTACTTTCTAGCAGTTGGGGCAGTAATAGGCAGTACAGTACAATGCAGTGCAATGCCACTTCATTGTACAGTCAGTGTCTGCCTTACGTATTGTACTTGATGCATTTCTGAAAACGAGTACACTAACTGGACACTGACTGTATTTTGAAAACTTGGTCTCAGTGTGTTCAAACCACATTACCCCCAAGTGGAGTATCTATCTAATATACTATAGGACTAGGCGTGTGTCTGTCTGTCTGTTCTGGGCAGCCGAAACGGCACAATCGTTTTTCATCAAACATGGTGGAAAAATCGCAAAAAAATCGTAGAGTGGAACAAACCTGGTCCCATGTCGATAGTTTCTTTAGGAAGGCATTAATTAACCATTTTATTTACGATGGAAATCGATGCAAATCTACGGACTTGGAGCACCCTAATTAACCATGCAAGTCTACGGACTTGGCGCACCCTCATTCGCTGTACGCTAGCCAAGCACAAGCCTTCAAACTTTCACTGGGCACGAAGGTGCCCGCGATCACTTGTTTGGTCTATGGGGCTGCCCACCACTTTTACAACTTATAAGTACACTTTAAAGTTTAATAGATATGATATTACACTAAAAGTTCGTGTATAATATTATTCCACTAATAGATAACTAACATAGTCGATTTACACATCTTTTGGAAGTCTTATACTGATTTATGCTTATGTAGATGGTTCAGTGGATAAAGTTTCTAAGTTACCAGGTAATTTGGGTTTATAGATTATTATTCTGTGAAGATATTCAAACAGTTCAATAAATGGATAATACTGTCACATGAAAAGATGGATGAACAAACTACGAGCTCGGCATAATAACAATATACCCATCACAGTGACTCGCTGATGAATCATGGTCAGGGGTCACGGATGTTTAAACATTGAAGGTTGGTTTATTGTATGTCAGTTTGCCTGGTACTGTCTCCTTGTCGTCACACTTCATATGGCTTTACGGCAGCGAGTTTATGATCCACCGTTGTTAATGTAGCTATTGTAACAAGATGTTTCACATTGTCGATAACCAATACTCCTTCACGCTGAAATGCAGATTTATCTATATCAGCTTTCTTACATAACTGTTGTGAATGTGATAACATCATAGTCTTCTCTTTCCTCTCTACTTATTTTTCACATTAAGGGTGATGCAAGTTGCTGGTTTCATAACTTCTTCCTTTGCACTCGTTTTCTTGCATTCTATACCATATCCTTCATCTCAATCAATGCTGTTTTCTTCGTCTCATCCTTCTACCGTCAATAGTCCCATTCACTACCATCTTTGCAACATTGTCACTTTCTTCTCTTAGCATAGATTCAATTCATCTGAAGTCTCAGTAATTAATTTGTTCTCTATAAAATCCATCTGATATTTAAAGGTGACCTTCATTTGTATTGAATCATGGCAGGAGGAAGTGGCTGGAGGAGAGGGTATGCTGTTATGGAAGTACCGCCAAGAGCGAGATAATGCCATCAGTGCCCAAGTTCAACAGCCTCAACAACACCCCCATAATGCAGGTCAGTCCACAACCCTGGTTCTTGAGACAATCTTGTCTTCCAGATTACGTCCTAAGAAACCTTTGTCTTAGATAATTTGTCAAGAGGTTGTCAATCTTAGTGTTAAATGAGACCTTCCGTGTGTTTCATTTTGTGATTGTATTTTTCTGTGATTCTTACATTAAATTTACCTATATCCTCAGGTCTCTTCCATACTGAGATTCCCATGTTAAGCGTACCTGTGTTTATAGATCTGTGTTAAATTAACCTTTATGTTGAGTTTTCTCCTTTAATTTTACCAGTATTCTCAGATTTCTCTGTAAGACTTACTTAAATTCTTAGATTCCTTCTGATTCCTATGTAAAAGTTTTCTGTTTTCTCAGATTCCTTCATTAAATTCACTCAGCCTTACAACTTCCTTCCTTAAATTTACAGATTCTCACATTCTTATGTTAAATTTACTAAGTCCTTCAAAGATCCTTACATTAAATTCTCCATAACTGCAGATAAGAAAAGGCACTTAATTATTTGGTTTGTGAAAGAATGAATGCTTTACCTCAGGGGACGTGGTGTGTTTGCCGGGGACACACAAGGGAGAGATCAAGTTCTGGCTGCTGACCAGAGGTGGTTTAAGCGGAGGACAACTGGGTTCACCTTACACCTCGGTGGGTTCCCTCACTGGTGGGATGAAAGTGTTGACTGAGGCTGCAGCTAAGGGAAGCTTGGCAGATATCCTCATCTCTGACTGTGGTGCGGTTATCCATGCCAGCCATGACAGTAGTGAGATGCAATGAGGCTTGTGGCTTACCCATACTCCTGTCGTGACAGAAAAACAAGATACACTATTGAGTTTGTTGACTGGGGAAGGCTTGTGACACAGCACCAGGATAGGAAGCTATTGCAATGTTAAGATGGTTGGGAGTACCTGAAAGCACAGGTAAAATGGGCGAAGGAATGTATAAGAACACAGTAGCCAGAATTACTACAAGAGGAGGCGTATCTGACAAATCTTGGAGTTCATGGAGATAGGAACCTTCGGCTTATGTCACTTGATGATTAAGCAACCTAATGCTAAATGGTGTGGTTATGTTAGATTTGGTTAGTGAAGATTAGGTTAGGTTAGGTTTGCATTAGGGAGTTTAATCATCGGATGAAATAAGCAGGGATTCCTAATCTTCGTGTGATCCCATATCTGAAGTAAACTTTGAGGTGGGACAAGGCGGTGATCTAAGTCATGAGTCCTTTATTGATTATTATAGTTGAAAAGTTGATAAGGAAACATTATAGAGTGAAGGAAATACACTGGGAGTTCTGTGTGGTGACAGAAGAGAGACAAGAGCTTCAGGAAAATGAGTGATTTAGAAAATGTGGTTTAGGTTTGATTTTAGAGAACATCAGTAACTGAACTTACAAGTGGTGAGAGAGAATTGAAAACAAGAGAACATCTTTGTACATCACATGGGAGCAGTATGCGGAGATGGGAGGTGAAGGTAAGAAGAAAGGCACAGGCAGGAATTAAAGCAGGAGTTATGAAGGATGACAAGATGAGAAACAAGTTAAAGGGAAAGACTATAAATTTGACAGAGGCTGCAAGGTTTGTGGAAACTAGTGGGTAGGATAAATAACAGAAGGAAGAGGCAGGTACAGTATGAGTTAGAAGAGGGTAATGGAGTGGCTGGTGGAAGGGTGACTAAGATGGGCGGGGTATGTGCAGTAGTTGGAGGAGGGAGGGTGGTGAGGACAGCAGATAAGGAACACTTAAAATAAGATGAGAGGATTATGTTAGGAAAGACTTGAGGAAGACTGATTATGATGAAAACTGAAAGACAGTGAATATGGAAAGAGAGTAGTAATGGAGGAAGATAGAAAAGGTATGAGTTTAGTACTCTACTGACAAAGGATCTCACTTCTGAAAGGAGGCAGCAATGAAAACGATGATGGTGATGCTGCACATATGTGTACTAACCAATATAATATAATTTATATCAGATATTTGTTTGGAAATTTTCTGTGTGAATTAAATGGTCAAGAATTCATGGTCTTGGTAGTGTACAATATATATATACTGTATATATATATATATATATATATATATATATATATATATATATATATATATATATATATATATATATATATATATATATATATATATATATATCATGGGCATTTTGAGGTAATTTTGAAGCTATGTGCACTTGATATTAGGAAATATTCTGAGGTCAATAGTAATTACTTTTTACTATACAAAAATACCTGAGTACAATACTGCATTAAAGAAAAAGAATTGGAATTTTCTGATGAAAAGGGGGGTCCAGACAGCTGTTAGCCGAGGCGCACATTGAAACGTAGGTCGGCACAGAGCAGGGCAGCACAGCACAGGTGTGGTGTGTACATTGGCTTGCAGTCTGTATCCATGCGTGGCAGTCGTGTACTAAAATTACTTAATAATGAAGTAAATTACTTTCAAGTCCAATATTAGTTTTGATATTGATTTTAATTTTTTGCTTCAGTTAGCAATATTGTACACTCACTGTCTCCTAACGTGAGAGCTTCAGCTTTATGATCCCAAATGTTTTCTTTCAGCTTGGTTTTCATGTAGTCAGGATGGCTAGTGTCCTAAAGTACCTTTTAACCCCAATCAGCCTGTATAAGTTCCTCCGCCATATAAAAAAATCGATGATTTTATGCCTTGAAACACACTGACACATACAGTACACGTGTCGAGCAAAAAGTGTTTCAACAAAGCGGTTAGACACAGACTTGCGCCTGTTCTGTGCTGCCTTAAGTCCTAATGTGCTGTCTCTGACTTGAAATAATGTCACAAAAAACTGCTCTGCCCTGCACTACGTCTCCTGTGTCGCCTACACCTCAATATATGCCCAGGCTTATTGTTGTGGCATTGCCCTGGATGGAGGTTCCCAGGTACAACAGTGAATCCTGGGGTAAGTACATGCCCAATACTTGCCAAAAGTGCGTAACAGATACGTAACCGACCGCTTAAGCGGCTAACGAACCAATCAGTGGCGAAGATAAAAGTAAAATGAAAAAAAAAATATTCTTGAAGATAAATATACTGTATCCCAAAATATTATTACAGTACTGTACTGTAATTAGGTTAATTGGGTACATTTTGAACAAAGACTTCCTTGTTTGTACATCAGGATCTTCTAATAGGTCCCCTGAGTCCTGAGACTACAGATGGATGATGATACAGCAGTAAAGTGTTTGTCTCACCACTAGAGCCCACTGTATTGTGTGTGAGAAAGGTGTTTTAATTTATTTAAAAATAATTTATCCAATGATATATTTTATTTTATGATTCTTATACAGTTTTTCATGTATAAGCTATAGTATTACACTAAATGTCTGAGAGTGACAAGAGGTATTATTGAAATGTTACCAAATAAAGGTTTTGTTGTTTATCCATAATACTGAGGTTATTTATCCTACATAGATACTTCCCTGACGAGAGTCAATAGCATCAGTTAACAGGACTGTATTAGAATGAAAATAATTATCTAAGTTCATAAGAGCCTAATTGGCCACGATACTTAAGAGAGTTGTGGACAGAGCTCTCGTGATCCTTTAAATTCTTGTTCTGCAAAAGCATGTATGAACAAAAGATCCCAAAGACTGGAAAATGGTATAAGTGGGTTCTATACAATATTAAAAAAGGGGTCATTGCCTTTCACGAGCAATTACAGGCTAACACTGATATATGCTCAGACATTTAAAAACCAAAACATGCCCAGTATACTCGTGTGTTTGTGTGTGTATATATATATATATATAAATATATATATATATATATATATATATATATATATATATATATATATATATATATATATATATATATATATATATATATATATATATTTGCTGATAACCACAAGGAAAGAAGAAAACACGAAGTTCCCAAGAACTCCCCCAACAACACAATTGGTTGCATTTATAAAGTTCCTTGCAAGGAATGTAATATGTTTTACTTAGGTCAGACAGGTAAAGATCTTGTAACTAGACTTAAACAACATAAATATAGTGTTAGGACAGGCCAGGAATCCAATGCTCTGTTTGTTCATTTGAGGGATAACAAGCATTGCATTGACTGGGATAATGCCTCCTCAGTATTATCTTGTAATTCAACTGATAGTAGGAACATCATAGAATATAGTCTCATTAAACATACCGAAGCATTCAACATGAATTTGAGTAATGGCATGTACAAACTGGACATTTTGTAATTAAGAAGATTTGTAACCAGGTGAGAAGGTTGGGTCACCTTACCCTCTGACCTGACTACCGACCGTTGCGGTGCTATTTAAAGATTAGAAGGGTCATTACCTAATACCTGACCACTGTGGACCTGGTCTCACCCTCCTCTGTATATATACACTTTGTTTTGTACTTTTCTTTAGTCTGTACTCACCCCTGAAGATGTGAATTACACGAAAGCGCTTGGGAACTTCGTGTTTTCTTCTTTCCTTGTGGTTATCAGCATATACCTGGATCACGCGCAACTAGTGATATACTTGCATATATATATATATATATATATATATATATATATATATATATATATATATATATATATATATATATATATATATATATATATATATATACTGTATGTGTGTGTGTGTGTGTAGTGCCCTCGACTCAATCATCGCAATGCAACCAATTCGCAACAACGTAAGTGCTTACAAATTAATTCAGTCCCATAGTTAGGGGACAGCCTCCAACAGAACAAAGATTACCGCCAGAGTAGTAAAGATATTAAAAAAATGAGTGATTAAATCATATACTAATAGGATGAAGTACAAATATTGAATAATACTGACCATAAAATATGTCCTGATATTCATTGCAGATAGCCTCAAAACTCCCTGAAAGTGGTAAATTTTCGGAATTTTCTCGGGAGGACTTACAGCTGGTGCAGCAGTATGGCAATAAAATAATGTCCTTATCTTCAAGTCTTACCCCCATCCCCCTTTCCAGAAACTTATGTACGCCACTGTGACGGCAGTTAGATGTTCCAACGTTAGTTATGATGAGGTCGGATTTTTAATATACTAGCATAGATAATTGTCTCTCAAGAGATTCTACAATGAGAGTAGCACGATTATTAAGGTCATTTGGTGAGGATTCATTCCTCCAGTCGATGTCGCCATAGTTAAAGCTCCCTATGAAATGGAGGTGGCTAGGGTTGAGGGCCGTTGGCCCATTGCATATTGTTTCCTTTTTACTTTTATCCTCTTTGCCACTGATCGGCTCGTTAGCCGCTTGGGCGGTCGGTCACGTCTCTGTTATGCATTTTTGGCATGTACTGGCTCCTAATTGTATTCATTGTCTAATTTCCGCCACTTAGCAATGGAGGCCCAAATGCCAAACCCTTTGTTATGGCGATGTAACATGACACGACCCGCACGACCTTACATGGCTACAAAGTTCCTTTGGTTTAATAAGCTACAATTCAGGATCTGTAGATACATCCAACAATGAGTAAGTCTCTCCCTTTAAGTTCAATTTTACACCACTTCGATTCTTCAAAAGCATTCTCCCCCTGCACTCTCACCTGGCTGGCTATCCGGTCTTATTTAGCATAAATAGCCACACCCCTCTTGGGTGGCCATATATCCATAACCCCCAAAAGGAGGACACTGCGTGCCAGCGATTCTCCAAACCCAATATGAATACTATAACATATATAACAGTGTTGGGTTTAATTGAATTTCATTTAACTGAATTGAAAAAGTGGCTTTTACTTAAAGATTTAATTGATTTAATTTTGGTAATTATTTATGACCTCACAGCCGTTGATTTTTCATAGATAATGAATTTAAAAACGCCACAATTTCACTTTGTATTATAGTGGACATTTATAGTTATGAAAAATGTGTTAAAAAGTGGTTATTTCTAAATTAACTTAATCTATCTTATTATATAAGAAAAACAAGCGGAATAAGCATTATTAGAAGATCTCACCAACCTAACCAAAGAAATCAACCGAACCTTACCTAACTTCCTAGCCGTGAGGCTCAACCCTCCAGAACTCCCTGCATATTAAATAAAAAGAACTTACTATTATGTTTGTAATTTTACGTTTTTTTGTGGACGTGAGAGCAGCGACCCGCTACATTTGGCTCATAAACATACACTGGTGAGTGGCGACAGGCGTTTATTGGCTGTGTATCGCTGGGGCCCGAAAAAGAGTACCTTAGTGTGCGCCAGAAAGTAGTGCACATCTAGTCGCCTAATTATTATCTCCCAAACGAAGCAACTTCCATAAAAAATGATTATTATATCAGAACTCACTGATGAAAATATACGAAGACTTTAACATCCAAACAACACAACGCAACATACATATATCGTTTCTCATTATCCTTAGTCTAACCTAACACCTTAGCTATCATGCACTCTTCCCTCAACTGGGACACTCACGGTCAGAGGAGTGAGGGCCGCCACAAGCTACGTCATTTCTCGTTGGTCGCCAAACACATGGTATACTTTTACTTTTATCCTCTTCTGAATGTGCCCAGTTGTCCCACACGGGGAGCAGACCTCCTGAGCCCAGCACTTCTTCCCTGGTTGCCCATAGTGCTGACATTTGTAGCACTGGGAGAGTCTTGGCATGTATGCCTTCACTGGAATATGTAACCGTCTTGGGCAATTTGTGGCAAAATCCAACCACAGTTAAACTGGATTTTCCGTCTGGTCTCTTCATCTTTCCTAATTTTATGTCTTCTAATAGGTTTTGTAGCTCGTTTTCTTCTAAGTGCTGCATCTCATCAAGGGAAATAACTCCCCACACGACGTTGTTGTCGAGACAGGCTTCCACCTTGATGGGGGTGTCATTGATGCTTGTTTTATCTTTTAGTTGTTTAGTTACCATAGGTAACCTTAATGCCACCACTCTACTTCTTCAGGACAAAAGTTTAGCTCCTCGAGAGGGATGGAAGGTGGAAGATATAACCTCACCACTTTCACCTGCTACCATATGACTCGCATGTCTTCTGTTGCTGTGGTTTCATCTCAGAATGCTCTCCCTTTGACCTCGGTTACATAATTTCCAGAGGCTGTTTTATGTGTGGCTTATTTCTTACTCTTGTGCCTACACCCTGTGGGATGCCACTTTGATAACGCTGGTCACCAAGTTTCTGATGTTCGCCTGGTTAATTAGTTGACTCATTTACATATTCTGGCAATTAATCTTGTTTCCTGTGATAATATGAGAAAGAAGTAAGAATAACTTAATAAATAATTGCCACCTTCTTTACGACTCACCTTTTATTTATGGCCAAGCTAACTTTAATAAAAAAATTCAAATGGCTTGCAGCAAAAGTAAGTTCCATACGTCTGACAACCCACAAGGTTGAGTGTAGATATTGGAGATTATATATTAAGCCTTCCATTCACAATAACTATATACTTATCATTATTGTTTGGGCGGCAGGTCATTTCTCTGTTACACACTGTCGGTAGGTACTGAGCATTTACGAGCGCTTAACTGTACCTGAACATAATGTATGCCACAAGGAGGCAGCATGGTCGGCAGGGATCTTTAACTGAAGTTAGTGGTGGTGGTGGCGTGCCCCAAGCTCGAGCCAGTGATCTTTCAGACATACTGTAAGGTGAGCACTGTCTCCGATCTTAAGTAAAGATTTTCACCCTGCTAATAATTTTTTTATAATTGACGAAACCTACCCAATCGTGTCTGATCCAAGTTAATTTAAATATACTGTACTGTAATGTACTAGGTAAATATGAAGCAAGGTTTTTCTTTTGTTAGAATTACATACAATATACAGTTCCATGTAAAGCTTTGTGTTATAATATGATTATTGGTGTACGCACATATCATATTAATTACTTAATATTATCTATTATCAAGGAGAGATAATGCCCTCACTAACATCACAATATATCCACCTCTGGTGTGTAGATATCAAGGGGAGGATAAGGTAATCTGGAGAGGATACAATTTTTGTGTTTCGTCGGGGACCGTTCAGGGAGGTAGAGCAACTTGTGCTCTCTCTCTTCACTCGACCACACCTCAGCTTTACCTAACTGCACCCCAATCAAACTTCACTCCATCTAACCTTAACCATAACCAAATTGATCCTAACTTATCTCAATGAAATCAAATATGGTTTAGAACTCAAAGGACCTAGAACTTGCCTCCTTTAACTATTTTTTCCACGAGTTAATCTTGTACAATTTTGTGTCAAAGTAACTGCATTCGCCACAAGTCTGCCACCAAGTATCTGTCAGCTGGCCCTTATCAACACAGGCACATCATCTTACTCACCCTACAGCCATAATGTATTGGCCAGCTGTAATGATAGCAATAGCGCTGGGTCACTTGGGCCAGGTTTTAACGACCGTACAAGGTAAGTCCTATGCAGAACCAGCATTATTGAAACACTTCCATAACTAAGGTGGCAAAATCTGTAAACAGAGAATGTGTAAAGTCAGTTTTGTTAATTTGTCAGATAAAATATTTTAATCTGCATATAAATGAGCAAAGACTATACAATATATGGTATTTACAGTACATTATATAGTCTTTAATAAGTGCAATGTTATTTTATCACAGCATCATTGGCTTTCTTCTCATACACTTCAAAATATTATAATATTTGATGGGGATCATTTCCCTCAGACACCAAGTGTGGAATTTTTTATCTAAAACAAGAATGTGTGATTGATCAGAATATTACTCATGCTGCTCTCATAGTCTAAAGGTTCTATTGATCTTCATCCATAAGTTGCATTTCCATACACCTGTCTGTTCTAAGTACCATTTGATTCTTAACTACTTAAATTGACAATATTCATTTGAATTTTAAAGCAAAAATTATGTTAAAATACGAACTTATGGGGATTACTGGACTCTTAAGAAATAGAAAATAAATTAAATAAAAAATATAAATGTTTCAGACTGCACTTCCGAAACCTACCTGGCAAGAAATGCTGCCTACGAGTGCTTCAAAATGGAAAAATCCGTCGGTTTTAAGTTGAAGGGAAATGATACATGGAGTGTAGGTCTCTACCTAAAGATTAACAGCAGCAGATTGCTGCAGATCAATACTTCTCTTTCTGGCAACACCACTATGAAGTTGCTGGATGATGATGATGATGATAGCTCGAAGTTAATGTGCAGCAACTGTACAATAAACCAGTCTGAAGTCTTCACACCAGGAGTGTTCACACATTTTCGCCTGAAGCCAGCTAAAAAGGCCGGTATTGTACTGGAATGGTACAGGGACAACACTACCAACGTCAGGAAAGTTACCTTCCCCATCAACGAAGGCTTTATCTTCAAGGATAAGTCTAAATTATCCATCCAGCCTATAGCCTTTACTGATGGCGTTTATCTACGCACTAACTGCTTTAAAGGTAACACTTTGGAGGCCCTCCAATTTTCTTGTATTTTATTTTGTAGAAATTTATACATGCTTAATACTTATACAGTAGAAATATGTACTGAGGATAGCATATACTCTTTACTTTTATTCTTTTCACCGCTGATCGGCTCATTAGCCACTTGGGCGGTCAGTCAAGCCTGTTACACACTGTTGGCAAGGACATGCACTGGCTCCTGAATGTATGTGAACCTCTCCAGTGTTGGTCAAGTCTGGTCTTGAAACAACTCACACTCAGTGCCGTCAAAAAACTCTCTGGCAGATTGTTCCAAGAATTCACATTTCTCAATCCGAAAAAATTTGCCCTCACAGTTTTCTGGACTTGTGGGTTTTTTCAACCTTGAACTGTGACCCCTTGTGGGGCAGGTGTCCACTAGCTCCAGGTATGGACACTCAACTGAGTAGTGCCCTCTGAGACGTTTATAAACTTCAATTAGGTCACTCCTTGCCCGTCTGTAGTATAAGCCAAGCAGTTTGCAGGCGTTCTAATCTCTTTGGATAACGAAGGTAGATCAGTAACACCTAGTATTTCCAATATGGTCTTTCAGCAGTTCTTAATCCCTTCACTACAGGGATACCACTTTATCATTTTATTTGACAAACTCCAGAAGATTTTATTCACCTCAGAAGGGAGCCCATACACAAGGGGTTAAATCTTCAGTCAGCATAAGTGTAGCATAGGCAATGTAATTACACCCCAGTACTGTATTTCCATTGTTGAGTTTATTATGGCAAAAGTTTTCTTTTATTCTTTTTCATTTACATTTAAAGGTGTTGCTTATGGAGTAGAAATTTTGTAACAATCAACATTAGTTATACAACATTACAGTACAGTGGGGTATCTCAAATATAGAAAAGAAAAAACTGCACGCTTTTTACTTTTATCTTCATCACTGATCGGCTCGTTAGCCGCTTGGGCGATCGGTCACTTCTCTGTTACTTTTCTTTTTCTTTTATCATCGTCACCAAATGATCGGCTCGTTAGCCCCTTGGGCGATCGATCATGTCTCTGTTACGCACTGTTGGCAAGTACTGGGCATGAACCGGCTCCTGAATGTACCTGACCCTGCTCCAGTGTTGGTCAAGTCTGGTCTTGAAAGAGCTCACACTCGGTGCCGTTGTGGAGGTATGGGTTTGTGTTCACACTCAGGATGGGTTGGAGAAAGGAAACTCACAATGTGCTCTCTGAATACATGTTGTATTGGATGTACAATGCAGCTTGGTGCTGGGAAGGCAGCATGGTTACAATCGTGATGTAGAGAGAGCTGGTTGGTGAGGGTGCTCAGAGGAGGACAGCTTGTGGGTCGCCATGCTCGCTGGCGAGAGCGAGGACCGCCAGGCAGGCGGAGGAGGGGGAGGTGTTGCTGGCTGGTTGGTGGAGGTAGAAAGAGACAGGTCACCACGAGGTCAGGTCTTAAATAGCGGGGGGGATAGGCGTGGCTTAGTAGTTGACCCCCGCTCTGTGATATATGGCGGCGCTGATTGACCTAGACCACGAGGCATACACTGTGGAATTCGTGGGGTCGGCTACGCAGCGACAAACAGCTTTTGCATGGGAGAAATCCACTACACCGTCACAACACTTTCTGGTAGATTGTTCCAAGAGTTCACAATTCTCACTCCGAAAAAGTTTGCCCTCACAGTTTTCTGGACTTGCGGCTTCTTCAATCTTGAGCTGTGACCCCTTGTGGGACGAGCGTCCGCCAGCTCCAAGTAAGGACACTCGACTGAGTAGTGCCCCTTGAGATGCTTGTACACCTCAATTAGGTCACCCCTTGCCCGTCTGTAGTATAAGCTAGGCAAGTTCAGGCGCTCCAATTTCTCAGGGTAGCTGAGGTGCCGAAGTGCAGATACCAGTCTGGTGGCCCTCCTTTGAACATTTTCAACTAACTGACAGTCCCTAGCATATCTCGGGGACCAGACGGGGTGACAGTACTCCAGATGGAGAAGCACTTCACTCTTGAAGATCGTTACGAGGGACGGACCGTCTAGATATCTGAACGACCTTTTTATAAAACCGAATAATTTATTTGCCTGACTTACCTTCTTCTCGCAATGGCACTCACTTACAGATGTACGGGAGCGCATTAAATACCGGTACTACAGTATTACCGAATGCACAAAAAATAGTCAACTTCCTGCTACAGTTGTACCCCACTTAACGCGGTCAATTGAACCCAGAGGGTCCCGCGTTAAGTGAAAACCGCGTTAAGTGAATAACAGAACATATGGGATTAATTCCAATAGAACCCAGCCCGACCCCCAAACTCCACTTTTTGACGACAAATAACTATGTTGTAGTAAAAATTCTATCTTAACTTTATGGTGGCATGAAAAACAAGTCATATAAAAGAGGTTAGGTTAGGAAAGATAAAGGTTAACATAGGAAAAATAAAGAATAGGTTAAAAACGAAAATTTTTGAGGAACACTCACGGTAGTAGAAGAGATGGGTCGGCATACGGGGATGGAGGCTGGTTCCGAGGCAGAGGGCAGATTACTGCCCCTCAGGTGAATCACCATTACTAGGTGAATCACCATTACTAGGTGAATCAATATCACTGTCACTTACAGTTGTTATGGCTTCCCTGACAAATCCCTCAAAATCAACTTCACTATCACTATCACTGGCTTGGGCTGGCTGTGGTGGGTTGCGGGCGAAGAACTCGGTTATGCTTTGCTGACGGCTGGCTTTGATGTTGTCATGATACACCGTGATGTACGGCTCCATAGCCTGCACCAGTCGGGTATGGAAGACGTCATGGCGTTCATCGTCAGTGTCGCGGGAAACGATGGACTTAATTTTTTCTGTTAACTCTATGAGACACTTAATATCACTATGACTTAAACTAGGTTCTTCGGAGAATGACGCACCTTCTTCCTCCTCTTCACTGGCGGGTTCTTCTTCCAACATCTCGTCGGCAGTCACTTCAGGATCTCTGATCACCTCCATGATGTCTTCGTTGGTGGTCTCGGAGAAGCCTTCAGCTGTAATACTGAGCGCAGCTTCTCTGGCAAGGTCCACTGCTACTGCAACAGTCTGAACCTGACCAGTCACAGGTTCACTCCTCCTCTCACCTGGTATGCCATGCAACACATGTCTCCATGCGTGACGAATCGTAGCAATAGACAGCAGATTCCATGCCTCCACCAAGAAGTCTACAGCTTGTTTGACGTTAAACTTCTTCCAAAATTGTTTGACGAGAAGTTCTTGAGTCGCCGCCTCTTGTTCCTTGTCCTCGTCGCTTTTACTCTCGCTGTCGGTGTCACCCAGCTTACGCAACTCATCCTTGGTGTTGGTAGAGTCGTTCAGGAGCTTGAATTTCTTTGCCGAGTATGCAGCTTTAACATTGCAGATTAACTCCTGGTCCATGGGCTGGATTAATGACGTAGTGTTGGGAGGAAGGAAGACCACTTTTACGTTGGGGTGACGATCCATAAGTAGGGGCGAGTGTCCAGGTGCGTTGTCAAGGAGCAACAAAATATTGAAAGGAACATTCTGTTGCTCGCAGAATTTCTGCACGTCAGGAACAAAACAGTTGTCAAACCAGAAGAGGGACAGAGAAGAGGACATCCACGCCTTACGTGCGGTTAGCCAGTGGACATTAAGCTTGTTCATGTCCATATTCTTGTAGGCGTGCGGCTTGCGGGCTTTGTGAATCACCGATAACTTTGGTTTACAGGTACCGGAGGCATTGGTGGTAAACAGGACGGTGATGCGTTCCTTCTGCATCTTCCGGCCCCTTACCTTGCTCGCAGACTGGACAACGAAGGTCTTGGAAGGTAACTTTTTCCAGAAAAGACCAGATTCGTCCATGTTAAACACCTGGTCGTCACTGTACTGTCCTTCCTCCATAATCTCACGTAAAAACGGAGGAAAATCTCTAGCCGCCGCACGGTCAGCACTCGCTTCCTCACCAACAATGCTGATGTTGGTGACCTTGTTCCTCCTCTTAAACCTATGCAGCCAACCATGGGAAGCATTGAAGGGTTTGGGCTCTGCAATTCCCAGTTTACGTGTCACTGCTGCGTATAGCTCACGTGCGTACTCCTGCACTGAGCGCGTGTCCACCGCCATGTTGCGTCGCGCCTGACGCACCAAATAACTCACCAGCAAAGTTTCCACTTTTGCCAGCACCCTGTTCTGGCAATACCTGATAGATGAAGCACCTGCAGACTTTGTGATCTTCATGTGCTCCTTTATCTTGGCTGCATCCTTCTTTATTGTACGAATCGTAGATTCGTTGACGCCATGCTGGCGCGCGAGATCAACTTGGCGTCTTCCTTTCTCCAAATCTTGAACAATTTGGTACTTCAGCTCGTAGCTTAATGAACGTCGTGTCTTCTTTGGTTTAGTGCCGCTGGGTCCAGGTAAGGAAAGGTTTCTCTCTGGGGGTGGTGGTCCGGCGGAAGCCATTTTACGGAACAATGGATGCGCGTTAACCCGGCGTGGCCTTGAGGGATGAAACTGCCGCGGCTAGGTCAAGCGTCGTCTCTCCTCCCTCCCTCCCTCCCCGGGGTAGTCACGTCATAATACTTTAAGCCAATTACAGCTAGCAGCAGAGGGGGGTAGGGCTGCATGGCCAATCACAGTCCGAGACGTCATATGACGTCAGTGATAACGCAACAAAGACACACACTGCGCAACCTTACCGCGCCGCTTACCCAAGCGGAGGGAGGAGGAGGGAGAGGCAGGCAGGCAGGCGGGCGGGTGGGTGGCGCGTGGTCAAAATCTAAAAATAGCATCCGAGCCGGACACTCACCGCGTAGCTGTGGAAAAACCCGCGTTAAGTGAAAGTTCAGCTTTGGCAAGGCACCGCGTATATGATAAAACGCGTTAAGTGAAAGCGCGTTAAGCGGGGTAAACTGTATTTAACATTTATTATTTCAATATACAGTATCTTCTTTAACACAGAAGAGGGTATAAAAATATTGTAGATTTCCAAAGTTTTGCATTATTCAAAATACTAACATACCTATCATACTTACAGCATTTAGGTTCATTATTTACCCAAGACGATTTCATTTTCACAGCCCCTAAAGTTTCAGACGGACAGCGGGACATACGACCATAAAGTCCCACAGATGTCAAGACAAATTAGTCACTTTAATAATAAACTACAGTTGTTTACTCAATTATTTTCAGGCAAACCGAAGAGGGACAAGAAAAACAAAAGTATCAATGTCACGAATATAACTCGGACAACTTCGGCACGCTCACCCACCACAACACCACTAACACCTGTCATCTCAACTCTGAAGACGAGATCATTCCACATGAAAAGTTCCCCGCCACACAGAACAACTACAACACAGTCACTATCAAGACTGACTTCATATATAACAAGTACACCGCCAGCACTAACTACAATACTACCTCCATCAACTCTACCATCTTTGTCAACACCATCAACAGGTCCACCATCTTTGTCAACACCATCAACAGGTCCACCATCTTTGTCAACATCATCAACAGGTCCACCATCTTTGTCAACATCATCAACAGGTCCACCATCATTATCAACACCATCAACAGGTCCACCATCTTTGTCAACATCATCAACAGGTCCACCATCTTTGTCAACATCATCAACAGGTCCACCATCTTTGTCAACATCATCAACAGGTCCACCATCATTATCAACACCATCAACAGGTCCACCATCTTTGTCAACATCATCAACAGGTCCACCATCTTTGTCAACATCATCAACAGGTCCACCATCTCAACATCATCAACAGGTCCACCATCTTTGTCAACATCATCAACAGGTCCACCATCGTCATCAAC